GCCAGCAGGGGGCGCTCACCCGTTGTCTGTGTGGGTGCTAATGCCCCAGTATAGTGACAGGGACACTATACTGTCAAAGAGCACCATCCGTCGGATGAGACGTTAACCCGAGGTCTTGACCCTCTGTGGTCATTAAAAATCCCATGGCACTTCTCGTAAAGAGTTGGGTTGTAACCCCAGTGCCCTTGCCACATTCCACCTATTGGCCATTGCCAATCATGTCCTCCTAATTATCCCCATCCACTGAAATGCCTCTGTCACGCTCTCCCCTTGTAGCTGGTGTGTGGGGAGGTGCACTGGCGCTGTTGTACTGTGGCTGCCGTCGCATCATTCAAGTGGATGCTGCACACTGGTGGTGGTTGAGGAGAAAACCCCTGATATGATTGTAAAGCACTTTGGGTGTACAGTAGTACATATGAAAGCGTTATATAAATGCCCCATTCATTCTTTAATTTTGTACTGTACTTGAACGGCTAGTATCAGTAGTGTTGTCAAGTCTTTGAATGACATACACCTCAAGAGTTTGGTAAACTTACCCAAGAGGACTCCTATCAGTATTTCATTTCTGCAGGTCCTTAGAGGAGAGCATGGAGAAAAATGGTCAAATTTAAGGTACTTTATCCGAGGTAGTCCGAGCTGCGAGGATGTGTTTGTGTAGAGTACATTATGGGAGTAACACTTCTGAAGATCTTGTTAAATCATAAAAACCTTGACAGACTGTCTAAGCACTGTGACTAACTTTGGCAGTTGTGCGAATGCCATCTGAATGATAAAAACATTGGAAGAGCAATATGTATTAGTTCTGGCTCTGATGCCAATGATGAGGGGTGTGTACAGGGGGTGGCCCGGTATACTTAGAGCCACTGCACTCAGCTGAGGTGCCCTCCTTGGCCAGACGATTCATTCCTTCCCCCATCTCCCCACCCTGTTTGGTCCTCTCAATCATTACAGGACTTAAAAATACCATCAGGTTGCATTCTTCCACTTACTTTGGATTTAATTGAAACAGGTAATGTATATACAGTCAATGAGAATTTGATTCCGTACAAATAATGTACTTTTAGGGGTGTATCCTTACATCTTATTTACTGACAAAGTACCTTATACTAAATATGCCCATTTTAGGGATAGATAAGGTACAAAGTTGTCCCTTTAAAAGTGTAATCTCTATATATTGACATTTTCAATTTATCATGGTGGTTTATCATGGTGAAACTAAAACGTGGCCTGATTAGGTTGAATATGATCATGTGAACATTAAAGTTAAAGGACAACTCCGGCGCAAAATGAACCTTTGGTCTAATTACACATTGCTACCTAGTCAACCGTTATCTGAGATTTGTTTTCATGATTGCCGAATGTAGTTTTATCTCTAAACACAGTTTAGCCTATAACGCTAGTATATGGGGCATAGAGTAATGACAAATAAAAATCTCTTGTTATTACCACTAACAAGGCTCAAAATAGCCCCACACTAACACGACAGCATAACAAGGGTCCCTACATTCAAACCGAAGCATTGAGAACGTTGTTAGTGTACATACAGTTTAATGAGAAGATATTTTATACACACAGTCAACTTCGTGAATACAGGAAGAAGCCATCTTTGAAAAAAAGTCTCTACCAGTCGATCTACGAACGCCGATCCATGTGCGCTGGACTTTGCATAATCTCATACAGTCTGTTGTTTCCAGAAGAAACACAAACACAAACCGTTTTCTTCTCTTCAATATGTACACGTAGCCTACTGTTTGCGCTCACTTTATTCACATCTCACCAGCGCACTTGGATCGGCGTTCGTAGATCGACTGGTAGAGACTATTTTTCCAAGATGGCTTCTTCCTGTATTCGAGAAGTTTACTGTGTGTATAAAATATCTTCTTATTAAACTGTATGGACACTGACAAAGTTCTCAATGCTTCGGTTTGAATGTAGGGACACTTTTTATGCTGTCGTGTTAGTGTGGGGCTATTTTGAGCCTTGTTAGTGGTAATAACAAGCGATTTTTATTTGTCATTACTCTATGCCCCATATACTAGCGTTATAGGCTAAACTGTTTTTAGAGATAAAACTATTTACATTCGGCAATCATGAAAACAAATCTCTGATAACGGTTGACTAGGTAACAATGTGTAATTAGACTAAAGGTTCATTTTGCGCCGGAGTTGTCCTTTAAAGCATATCATTTCACTGCAGTGCAGGTGCTCTCAAATAATATTGTACTATTATTTATCCCAATTACCTAAATGATTTTAAACCAAGTCAATGGTGAAGGGTGCGATTTGTGTGGTAAATTATTCTACCAACAAAGTAAACCTTAATGTGACTCTGTATGTAAAGTTAAGGTATGCAGGTTTAATTTTATTTTTATCAATGTGGTGAGCATTTATCGCCAAGTACATGCTTTGTATAAAAGGATAGTTTTGGGAAAATAGCAGGAATTGTAATGGGAAACATAATACGGCAAGCATTTTTTTTTTGTATTTTATTGATTCTTCTCTACTGTTTTTCTCAATCCACAATTTCATATTAGTCACTACTATGTTAGATCAGATTCCTCTGCCACCAACAGCAGTCAGCTACTAAAAAAAGGGATCAAACCCAAACCTTCTCTCCACCACTCCTATTTCACTGGATGATATTTATGAATTCACACACTACTGGTGGAACAACAAACAAAAGTGCATGTTGAACTTTGTGAATTTTTGAGCAGCACATCACTGTTTGGGAATACTTTTATGCTTATTTCACAGTGTCAGTTTATCTCACAAAATATTAATTTTTAAGACATTAATGCACATGGTCACACACACATAAACACACAAAACAAAACTATTGCCCTGGTCCCTATACACAGTTAGGCCATCCTAAAAGAGCCACAACATCACTGGCTGCGCAGGGAGCGATGGAGAGCAGGTTGGACGGTTTGATCTCTTGTTAGAAACACAACATCTCTATTTTTATCTGTACAACATTCAAGAGACACATTTCATGTTCATGTTTTTTGTTTGTTTCCTTAGTTTTTTCTTCCATAAAACAAAAAAAAGAACAATGACAATAATAATAATTATGAAGAGCTTGATTTCTTCTCATCGGCATCAAAGTAACATGCACCATAGAAATTTAAGTAACTTCTTGAAAGGCCTCGGAGCTAGATAGTATGTAAGCTTTCAGTGGTGCATACGCTAATGGGAAAGGAGGAAAGCAGGAGATGCAACAGCACGCATGAATGACAGAATGGCACTCATTGAAATGGAAATGACCCCCACATCTGACATCTCAACAAAACAGAGGATCAGATATGTAGAAGTACTGAACACAGTTTACCAAAGAAAACAAAGTGAAACAGTAGGGGCTAAGTGCTTTTGGTGAGCTTACAAAATACTTGAGGAAGTGCTCAGGACAGAAGGCACAGTGGCTTGACTGTTATCTCAAAGGAAAACCACATCAGGGGCTACCGAACACATAAGATACTCTACACACAAAACAAGGACACAATAATGACATTTTAAGGCCAGCCTCTGTCAATCACTGGACATAAGTACCTCCTACTTAGTGTCTAATGATAACAATGAGAGATGACCTGATTTCACAGAGTTGGATGAGGAAAGTAGAGCATCGTTTGTATGATGTGCTAATTCCATATCAAACATGCAACACAATTACAGGAAATCAAATTTGGCAAGCAGATCAGTCACACTGACAATGCTGATAGTGGGACATGTCTTGGACATGATCTCACCATCAACGTATAAATATATTTTCAATTGTTGAAATTTCAAGATCATCAGGCAAGCTTTTACAATGATTGTGTTTCCGAACGATTGATTTGTTGATTGGTTGATTTGACACATTGTTTAAGGGGATGTGAATTAAATCTGCAGCATTATGGAAAAAAAAAATGGTTTGGGGTAAAAAGAACAAAAGTTTGATCTGCATTTAAAGGCAAAACTAAAGCGAGTTTGGGGAGGAAATCTTTGCACAGTGCTCTAAAGACATTCTGAAGCAGTCTTCTTTCATAATTATTATAATACTTATTACTATTCTCCATATCCTTTTCCATCAACACTTCTTAAAAAGAAAACAACATATTTTTTTCCTCTTTTTGATCTCTTATGTTTACAAAAGCTACATATGTTCTACTGGGATGTCTGAATTTGTTAGTGTTTCGTTTTTTTTTTTTTTTTTTTTTTTTTTTTTTTGATATTTAAAAAAAAAAAAAGAGTCTACTCGCAGCTAAAAAAAAAAAAAAAAAAAAAAAAAACGCATACTGAATGTTTTAGTAGAGACTTTCCACCCTTTGCTGGATGGTTTGAATCAGAGACATTACAGGAATATGAAGGATATATTGCGGAGTCTCCATTTACTAGATTGATATCCGTTTCAAACCCTGAAATTTGAACTTTCCATAACGGCGGTCTGGATTTAACCCAGATATCCTGGTGATCTCTGTAATGTAAACACTTCCATAGGGCCCTTGTCAAACGGCCAGCTGTTCCCACATGTGGTGCTCTGGGTTCATTCACAGCAGACATAGTCACACAAACTGCCACCATATTGTCACAGAACTCTATGTTCTAGCACAACTACGCATATATACTGTATATATTCAATGTAACTATATTCCTGTGTTGCTGAATCTGCTAAAAACCTTTTACATCAACAGGCACTGAGAGAAATAGCATATAGAAGAGGCAGAATCTCTGTTTCATATAATATCTGAAGAATACCCGTCGGAGCAGACTGGCAGTGTGGATATCTGGTAATATAATCTTTACTCTGTCCTGTTCTGTTAGTGGTGATTCACAAGTACCATTCAGTTATCACAGCATTCTGTTCAGAGTCTGGCAGGTGCATGGTAAGAAGTGTGCTCACTCCTTTGGTTTACTGAAGACGTGCCGTCAGATTAAGTTCATGTGGAAGTAGCATGTCCGTTCAGTATTCGGTTAGCATCTCTCTCAGCATTAATACTGTATATTGTAGTGATTAAGAAGTGTTTCTTTTTTTTGTAGCTTATTCAGCTCCACAGATTGACATTCCAAGTCCTTGTTGAGATGAGAGCAAGATTCACAGGAGCAAGGAAATTGTAAATGAAATGCAACTTGGCAATTGCGTTCACTGACAAGAAGACAGGAACGAGAGAACAGTGTTCAAGAAGGCCCCGATTCAGGCAGGCTTAGACTAGCATACAATACTGGATATCTCTGTGTGATTGAGAGTCTTTGTGTGTGTAGAGGTAATTGATCACTAACCAAGAGGGTATAATGAGGGGAATGGTTGATTTAATTACTTTTGCGGGTTTCCTGTTAACATATTACATAATGTCCAGTATGTTAGCATAGTGACTGGTCTGCCCTTGGTTTGAAGGATACGAGGGACCCTGGACAACTATTTCCCAAATATTTCTCCCCTGCCCCTATCTTTTCTCCAGGGCTCTCTTTAGATGTTATTTCTCCAAGACACTTTCCTCCTCCTTGGGTAGATACTCAGCCGTGAGGTCTGATGAAACAGACTGAGCCCTTCTGCCCTGATCCTGGGGTACATTTGCAAAGCTGCCATTTGCTTCCATCTCATTCTCCCCCTCTTCAATATCCTCATCTCCCTCTTCTAGGTCCTTTCTCATTTTACGTTTCTTCTCTGTGGCACCAAATCTTCCCGCAGGTCCAGAGGCAAGTTCAAAGCTGTCCTCGCTTTCCTTGTCATCTGGGCTGACTCCATTCTCAGCTCTTGACTTGGATGAGACCCAGTCCTCAGGAGATGCTACTCCGTCCTCTACACCAAGGAACTTCCACAGAGCCAGGGGATCACGGTCTGGCCCAGCCAAAGTTAGTCTTGGAGAATGATTGGTGGAACTGAAAGGGACGCCTCTCTTGCGACGAGACTTGCTGGTGTGATTAACCTGAAGGTGCATGGCCATCAGCTCAACAGAAGAGGTTCGGAAGGGACAGAACACACATTGATTAAGGATATCATTCCCTCCTTTAGAGCCACCTGATGGTTCACCCCCAGAACTACTCACTCCCACTTCATCTTGTAAAGGGCGACGGGAGAGATCCAGTGGTTCGAAGCCTCCTTCCTGGGATGTTGTGCCGCCCTGATAGCCATTTACTGACATCATGCGGCTTGTAGTAAGGGGTTTCCGTCGAGACACTTTTGGCATTTTCGGAGGTGGTACCTCCCCAATCCAATTTGTTTCTAGACCACCAGGGAAGAGTGTCCCCATCATCCCTGACAGACTGCGATAGTGACTCTCCAGGTCTCCCTCTCTTTGATGAATGGATGCAGAAGAGCCCTCCTTCTGCTCTGATGGGCCTTCACCCCATGACTGACTGTGCCTTGGAAGCTCCCTTCCAAAAGACGACTGGGATATGGAGGGTAGTCTGCGCTTTTTTACCCCTTCACGAGGAGATCCAGTCAGAGAGGGAAGGCTAGGTGATGGGGAGGTTGGGGAGGTTGCCATAGCGTTCCTTTGCTCACGATGATGACGTTGAAGGTGGTATTTGAGAGAGCCAGACTGGGTGCCAGCATAATCACAGTGGGGGCATTTGTATGGTCTCTCACCTGAAACAAGGAATAAATTACTCTTGTTAAGTAGACTGAAAACTGAAATGTTGTTTTAAGAACAGAAATTTGGCTAAGAAAAACAATGCTTGATTAGGGAGGCCATAGCAGTTAGGCAATAAATTGCCTGTGTGAAAATATATGCAGTTACACACAGTAACAGATAGATGGCAGTGCTTATCATCATATGTAAAATCAGGTAAATTCCCCAGTGCATTAGTTAAATTAGGACATTTCATCTCTCATCAACCGTGTGAACACTGCAATTTTCTTCTTTAAAATTTCATTCTTTCTTTTTTTTTTTTTTTTTTTTTGGTAATTACATTTTGTGAAGAACCCGATAGTCAGCAAATGGTTTCAATTAAACTAAATCAGGAAAGTTACAAATGTCAAGTGTTACAAGCTCCAAGTGTCATTCTTACAAAGTACCAATCTAAAAACCAAGATCAATTGTGATTATGTTGCTTTTGATTATCATTGTAGTACGATCACTGTATAAATAATATTACTGTAGATTCATATTTAATCCAATATTTTAAGTCATAATTTTTGTTTTATAGGTTTAACAAAATATAAGTCAAAGCCCCCTGGGACATGCTTAAGTAACCCCCTGGGGTATTCCCCTAGGAGTCACAGATTTAGTAAACATGATATCCTTACCTGTGTGTACACGAAGGTGCACTTTAAGGTGATGGGAAGAGCGGAAGGCTTTACCACAGTAGGGACAATCCTTCATCCCTGTTCCCCGAACACGCTCCCTTGGAGATGAAGTGGAAGAGGACGATTCCCTCACACCGTTGGGACCTTGAGATAAGATGTATAATGAATAAATTAAACTGTTTCTGAAAATGATCCTGCCTAAAACACATGGAGGAAATTTTACAAAACTAATAGCAGTAGAAACTTTTTTATTAATTAAAGTTCAATAAAGGTCCTGCAGTGTCATAGCCTATGAAGGATTGTAACCGATAAGAAATATTGTCAAGATAAAGTCTGCTGTTTTTGATTATGCTGGCTGATCCTTACCAGAGAGATGTGATATGACAGAATGGAAGCTCCCAGCTGACACGACTCCTGATGGGAGTTGCTTTCTCTCCTGCCTAATATCATTGTCACTTGTTCTTTGCCCTCCTTCTACGCCGCCTGTTGCTTGAGCTCCACTGACTCTGTTTATAATGTCCTCTTCCCTGGACATGCCCCCTCGGGCACTTTGGCCTTTCTGTGGTTTCTGGACATGGACACGGGCGTGAGCAACCACCTGCTGAAGGCTTCTGAACATCTTGCCACAATCTGGACACTCCCACGGTGAACTAGATCCCTCCAGTTCCTCTCTAGAACCCAACCCACCCAGGTAGGCCCTCATCTGCTTGGCTTCCCCAGCGACCGTGCCTCGTGAGGAAGAAAACTGATGGTGTGAATGGGATCTCTGCTGCTGCTGCTGCTGCTGTTGCTGTTGGTTGTTCTGTGCTGCCACCAGACTGCGTGCAACCAGCTGCCACATGGCTGCCTGGTCTGTACCGTCTGCTGACTCACTTCCCCGCCCTCCTCCTCCGTTACCCATTTCTGCAACCTGTGCCACTGCCTGAAGGCGCTCCATGCAACTTCCATTGCTGTTGTCTTTGGGTAATCCCAGATAGCCCAATATAGAGGATTTGCTTGAGCCTGCACTGGCATCTGACCTCTCTGTGCGATTTCCTGAAGCACCGCCACTGGCCATACTTCGAGCAAGGAGCAAGTTAGAATACAGAGCCCCCAGCACTTGCGTGCTTGCAGGACCTTTGGATTGATCAGTTCCAGCTGGACCCAGATTGCTCAATCCAGCCTTGAGGCCAAGCTTGTTCAGATGCACCTTCATATGGTTCTTTAGAAACCAGGGTTCCTTGAAGCCACGGCCACAGACCTGGCACTTATGATCCAATGAGTCCTTGTGCTTCCGCATGTGCCCCTTCAAAAACCAGGACTGAGTAAAACGCTGTCCGCATGTCTCACATCGGAAAGCTGGAACAACAGACATTTGTGGGGGAGGATTTTCTATTGGTGCCGTTATAGGGTGAGAAGGGAAAACCGTTTCAGTGGGAGGATCTTTAGGTGGGTGGGTCTCCTGCAGATGGGCAGCCAGTCTTTCCTCCTGGCTGGCTGAGAAGGGACACATTGTACATTTGTAGGGGTTGTGGAGGATCCGCACATGACGTGCAAGCTCTGAAGCTGTTCGGAACTTACCCTTACAAGCATGACACCGGAAGGCAGGAGCAGCTGTGGAGGGGGCGTTGTCATCCAAGTGGGCCTGGCCAAGTGGAGAAAAGGAGGTTGAGATGGGTGCTTCCTCTGTTAAAGGTGGAGTCAGGGCTGATGCTCCTTCAAAGAGGAACTGAGGGCTGCTAGCAGTTTGAAGAGGTTCCTCTGGAACCATGTCTTCATTCATACTTTTTTGTGATGACCCAGATAATGAATTCTGGATTACACTCTCGCTCACGTGATTCTGCTGCAGTTTGACATGCGTGGCTTGGTAGGGAGCTGAAGCCCGACGCTCCCTGTCCAAACTGTGTGCTCGAGCGTGCAGAGACAAAATACTCTGGAAGCGGAACCTCTTTCCACACACATGGCAGGGGAACCTTAGGCCAGGCCCAGAGCTGGTCCCTCCAGGAACAGCCATGCCCTCATTGTTGAAAAGCTGAAGATCCAACTCATCATTGTAGCTGGTACTTTGACCAGAGGAGATTGCCTGCTCCAGAGCTCCAAAACCAGGGAAAGGTGCTAATGGTGTGGCTGGTGGGCTGCTCTCTAATGAGGGACTGCCGAGTTCCAATTCGCCAGGAAACAGTGCCACAGCTGGGGTGGGTGATGGGGGTGTTGATAACTCCTCATCCTCCTCCTCATCTTGGAAGCAGGCTTCAGGAAGTGGGCAGGGTGAGACCGGGACATAGAGTTCAGTTTGAGGGCTAGAAGGTGTAGATAGAGGACTCTGGGGTAGGAATTGGGGACTGTGATCCAAAGATGGCATGGAGGGTGGAGACAGAGGAGGCTCACAGGAAAGTGCCAGCATACACTCTGGTGGGGAATCCATACTCTGAGTGAGAAAGGATGAACAATAACAATTAGACAGGCAGACAGACAGACAGACAGATACTGTAGATAGATAGATAGCTTACTGTAAATGTGTCTATGCCATGCTTCACTTCCTTGAATTAAAAAGGGCGTTTTCCGATGGTGGCAATTTGCCTGACCACCTCCAACAGTCCCCTGTCAAGTACAACACAGAATAAAAAATGAGTTGATACACATTTGTTCCTGTGTACGGATCTAAGGGCAGAACGGGACATGGACTGTCCCAAACAGGATGGGCGCGAGATGTTTGGACTTCCCCACACACCCTTCCTGCACATACACTTATAGTAGCTGCTTAAATCAAAACAAAAAATACATACACACACAATGCACTGACCAAAGCGAACAATAGTATAAATACACACATGCATGCGTTGCAAAAGTCTGGAGTGGACAAGCCCAGACACAACAAGAAAAAAAAAAAAAAAAAAACACCTGCTTTTTTCATAAATTAGAGAAAATGAATTTCATTGATGATTACTGCATGGCAATCTGTTAAACATCTGTGAGGACGTCTGTATGCCTGGATATGTATCACTATGCTTGAATTCGTGTGGGCGTTTTTTTTTTTTTCAGTATTTACCTCTGTGAACAGACTGAACTGTATGTCTGTGTCTGAGATTTATGTACACAATCAAGTGATTGTTTGTGCATTAATGTGTGTCTGTGTGTGAGTGTGAAAGTGTGTGTATCTGTGACACAAGACTTGGACGAAACCGTGGCTTACAGAACCAGTTGACATTTTAGATCAGCCGTGACTCACAAGGATATCACACTATATCAATCATCTGCCCCCTTTCTTTCTTTCTTTCTTTCTTTCTTTCTTTCTTTCTTTCTTTCTTTCTTTCTTTCTTTCTTTCTTTCTTTCTTTCTTTCTTTCTTTCTTTCTTTCTTTCTTTCTTTCTTTCTTTACCATTATCGTGCTTCTTTTTCCTTTCTTCTATCTTTTCACTTCCATAGATTTTGATTCCACCCCTTGCACTTTTTCCTCTCTCCACCCTCATTCCCTCCTCCCTCTATTCTTCACTGATTTTCTTTCTTTCTATCATTCTCTCTCTCTCTGTGTCTCTCTGCAGCGGTGCCAGTTGGCACTGTGCCAGGGAATGCTGATATCAGCTGGTAGATTGGGGCCTGCCAACATGGCGAAGAGAAAAGAGAGGAGAGAGACAGACAGGCAAGAAAGAGAAGAATTGGGGGGGGGGGGGGGGTAGTGAGGAAACATAAATGAAGAACAAAAATACGTTTTGAATGAGCATATTTGATTGGTAAATCTGTCGAGAAAGGGGACAGAGTGTTCTGCTCTGCAATGGAGGATCTTGCGGTCTGTTTGGTCTGCTGGCATTATTATCATATGAATATCGTCATGGCAATTCACTGTTCTGCCTTGACAGACACGTTTGTGTCTGACCAACCCTGCCACGCCAATAAAGCTTCTCTAAATTTGGATAGATGGAGAGAGTGATAAGGTGCTAGACAGAGGGGGGAGGGGAGAGAAGGCAGGAGAGCGATAAAGCAGCATGTGCAAATAATGCATGCACACACACACATACACACACACTCAATATGGCACCTAGTCACTAGATGATTCATGCATGCTAAACACCTTTGTCTGAACGGCCACATGCTACACTCCCTGTACAAGCAAACACACAAATGCACACACATTTTGTTCTTCCTTGGGGCACATGTAGTCAAATATATGCTATATAACTACCTGCTTTTTATGTAATGGAATGATTATCTCATAAACAAAAATAAGAAGAGAAATAGACCATAGTCATGTACAATAACGGCATGTAATGTAGCTGCAATTACAATATTTAGTAGCAAATGCATCCTGTAAAATATACAACAATTTGTTTACCTGTAAGATTTTGATTGAGGTCAACTGATTCTTCCATTATCCAAGTATCGCTAATTGGTTTTACTGAACATTTGCTACATAAGTACCAATACAAATATGGTCGCATTTCCAAGAATGATGACACATAACACATTCTGAAAAACCTTTCATAAAACCTCAATGCCTGAACAAGCACTTGAGTCACTTTGATAAAAACCTATTTTTCTCACTGTGGTTCGTATTCCGCAGCCTTGAGCACCTGAAATAACGTCTCCTGCCTTTAGTGTGAGGACACACTGGGCCTCCAACAGTGTAGCCATGTAATGCATCTAAAGGCTAAGAGGAGATCATACTTCTGAAAGACTTTAGACTTGTGGCCTTGAAAATATAGCATGAATGGTTTTATCGCAGCCTGTTCTTTTATATGTGACCAGAGAGAGAGAGAGAAATGGTGAGAGACTATGAGTGAGAACTGATTGCTCAGCATGTGATGAATGTGTGTGTGTGTGTGTGTGCGTATGCAAACTTTGAGGCATGAACTGCACTTTACCTTTCTTGTATCTCTGAGTGGGATTTCTAATGTCAGTGTGTATATGATTTTGGATTGTTGCAGTCATTCAGGAAGTCCCTACAGACAAAATTCATTTCCTGTTTCTAACATTGGGCTGAAGTTTATCTCTCTCAGTGACGCAGCCGCTCTGCATAACGTCATTTTTCTTTAAGTGACTTCAGCATGTGCAAAATGATCTTTCCCTTCATTTTCCAACATTATGCTAAGTCGTCCACAACCTTCCCCGTTCTCCTCGTCTCATTATATTTTGTTTCTCTTTAAAAGACTTGCAGAGAGCTTGAGGGTTTCATTCAAAGATGCTGAAGAGAGGATAAGTAAGTTAAAAACGTCACAATTTTGACCATTATCTTTCGCTGAGCATGAGACATGGATATCAGACTTGAAATTACGTTCACAGTAAGGTGCTTCACAAAACAAATCAATTAATTCTTCCCTAGTGCCAAATCTGAAGAACTGAACTTGGACAGTTCAACTGTGAAAGTGAAAATTTAATAGACGTCTAAATCATAGCCCAAGATTAGACTAGTCATCAATTAGATAACAAATAAATGAAATGAGTGAAGAAATGAAAGCAAACAACTCGTAATTACGGTTTACTTTGCTTGCATGATGGCATATATAATAAATTAAATTAATTATCATCTCAATAAATTATTTCGGTTATTTTGGCTAGAAGTGGGTTACTCATAGCCAGACTATATTGGGTCTATAGTTAACCTAGATGGTGAAATAACGGCTATTGCTTGCTGGGTTGTTAACGAACTACATGTTAATAAAAATATATGTGACAACATTACCTTTGTAGTGTAAAGACTAATGCAGCTGGACAACAGTGATCAAAATATTAGAAAGCCCACAAAAATATTTGCATTACATTCCCAGAATGACAAGAACGTGTCTAGTATCATCTATAGGCGAGGACACAGATAATTCAGTTTAGAGAAATGCGTCTGCTAAATAAATCAACAACATATCGGTACTTTTTTTAGATTACATAGCCTATGTTTGGGAATAACAGTGTGCCGACTTTAGATTGTTTGCATTTTTTATACAATAAATAAGAGCCTGATGTAAATGTGATGATGTCAAGTAATCGATGGCAATCTATCGGATCACCTGAGATGGATGATAATAACAGGTGTAAATCGGTCAGCACACACTAAAGCAGTATAAGCTTTGATTCAGGTTTAATCTTCTCTTGGGTGATCTAAAGAATGAATAATTTTCAATCAGAATCAGCTTGCTTTTGTTTTAGAATGAACAGCCAACCTCTAACCTCCACCAATGAAATGAGCTGTAAGGTGTCCGCTGGCTGTGTGCAACAAGTGCACAAAGGCAGTGTGCTGAGGTAAAAAGTCTACCTTCAGGCATTTAAGTACAGAGAGGAACTCAAATAGAGCAGACAACGCTGGTCTATTTGACGGAACGAGCCGTTCTGAATTTGTAGTATATAACTATAAATTCCACCTTTTAGCGGTTGATAAGGTACAAAGTCGTCCTTACTGGCCCAGTGACAAGCTGATGTACCTCTAAAGGTAGCCTACAATTGTTCATATTTTTTTCTGAGATTGTAATATGACTAAATCAACCTAATTACATTTTGTTAGGCCTAAGTGAAAGCACTTTTTGTGGACAGATCAGGTAAAATTAGCTCTTTACAAGAACTATGTTTTTCTTCTTTGACATGACAGCTTGAGTAAATTCATGTCCCAAGTTCAAAGTATGGATAACCAATTATATCAAGTTTGTGCATTGTGATGCATTTGCCAAGCCAAAAATCTGTTGATCAATTATCAATTATCAATTATCAAAGTCACTGGAACAGCTCATCCAGATCTGCTGTTTGTGCAGGTCATCAAGATGAGCTGGATCAGATCTGGTTGTAAAAGTTGTTTACGGGGCCCTTCACTTCTACCCGCCCCAGTTCGGCCACATTTCTGTGCTGCTCTGCCCTCTTATCCGTCAAACTGTCACGTCAGTTCAGGGGGGCTGGTCTCATTCCGTCACCCCTCATGCAAGCACGTACAGGGGCAGAGATTATAGCCTGTATGCCAGTGCCCCACATCTGTGACAGAATGAAATCATTTGAAAGAATGGTGCCTTTAAAATGTTCGTCTTTTCATTAAGCTATAGGCTATATAAAGTTTCTTTGCGGGATGTATTTGCAGGACATCAGATGACCCGTCCGTGGAGAGGAATGTACTCGCGTGATGTGCGTCAGTAACGCGCATCCATTTTCAGTCGCCTTCCTCCTCTCTCGCGGCCATCTCAATTAAAAAGCCACATTAATGAAATAAATAAATGCTCACAAACAAATGCGCACACGACACGTCCTCTCGCGAACACTGACATTCGCGCATGATTAATCCTGAGCATAAAAGAGTGATTTACAGAAGCCACAGCATCGTTTTCCCAAACTGAGGGAGAAATTAAGCTTTTTTTAGGACGTGATGTTGTGCACTCCATTTTCTTCCTGATTTTCTTTCAACAAAAGATAAAGGGAGGGGAAAGGACAAGCGATCAGGGTGCAGCTGAAAAGTGCCATCATGGGGTTTCATCTTGAAATCCGCTGACAATCTCGCCGCTATCGTGACAAAACGCGATCGAGGGACATGTGAAACTTTACGTTTTTAGGGCCGTTAGTAAAACTAGCACCTTCGGCTGCAGCTGCAGGTTTTGCGCTACAGTTTAAATAGCGATTACGAGCGCGCATCTGTTGAGGTAACGTTAGGACATGCAGAGCATGAAATTCTCCAACGAGGTATTGTATTAACATGCACGTAAAATGCCCCAAAGTTAGAAAGCACTACTATTGATGTAGGCTACTAACAATTTCTCCCTCAGAGAGTCCGACCGATATAGAGTCATGAATCCTAAGACTGTTTTACGTGGAAAACTGGAGCAGAAGGAACTAAAGCTTCTCATAAAGTAGCCAAAAAACTTAAGGAGTTGCTACATTTTGCAGTAGCTGAGAGCAGCTTTTCCCCATGAGAAAAGTTAAACATAGCCTGCATTTTAGTTTAGGGCACTTTTCCCTCACTTGAGAAAGGCTTTGAAAATATTGAAGGGCCTTAAAAACGAAAGTTGCATTTTCATGCCCGGGTCTCGCATCTCTTTCAGGACATGCGCGCGCGCGCGCGCGCTCACACACACACACACACACACACACACACCGGCAACATACACGGCACGAGACAAAAGTGAGGAAGTGTATGTGCCAGAACACATATGATGTGTCCTAACAGAGGCACACGAGACGCCAATCAAGTATGTCCTATTGTAGGCTATGTGTAAGAAACCCGATATGTAAACGCGACGACTATTCGTATCAATGGATTTTCATTACCCGGATCAGCCCCCCCCCCCCCCCAAAAAAAGTCGTCGTCGGATATTTGTTGTTTGTCAAGGCGACAACATTCGCTCTCTATACGTCTAAAACTGTATACAAACAAACACATTCGTACCCTCGACCAATATGTATCAGTAAAACCGTTCAAAAAGAGCAGATTAGGTCAATTATTTGAAATGAATCAGATATTTTCTGATGAAAGTAAGGCTGAATGTACTTACGGGAGAGGCGGCGAGGAGATTAATGACAACACACGTCATGATTACGTTTCACTTGAATTAAATACATTACGAGTTAGGGAAAAAAATGGAAATCGGGGGTAGTTGTATACAAGCATACGCCGATACCCCCCTCCCTTCTGCCCTTTCTATCTTCTCCTCCCTCTTTCCTCACACGTCTCTCTCCCTCTCTCTCTTCTCAAAGATCCATTTATTGTGCAGTCGTGAGTGAGTGAATGAGAGAGAGGCGGAGGCTGTAGGTTGCAAATGTAATTATAATCTCGCAGGCACCATTTTAAAACGATCTATAGATTTGTGGGATAGACTGACACACCGCGCGCTTAGAAATCACGTTCAAGTTTCTCGCGTCTGCTTGTAGTGCTCAGATTTACGCGCAAACGTATTTTAGAAGTATTAAGAGTATGAACGTTTCATCCCAACATTGTTGTCCATCAGAAAGTCCTTCTAGTTCTGTTGCCAGACAGTTGTGATTGTGTCGCGCACTGGAAGAGAAACTCAGGCTCCACGTGGGAGCAGAGCAGGTGCGCGCGCGCGGGTCACCATCTACTATTCCACTTCTACTGACTGTTAACTTATAAAAATATCCCGCCACCACACACACACACACACACACGCACATACATATAGCCTATACATGTGTGTGTGTGTGTGTGTGTCAGTGCTGATTTACATCATTGTATCCTCTATTGACCTAATATAAGCAAACAAACAAACCACCTACTGTTAAGCATTTAAAACTTGCCTACATCAGATTCACCCTCATTTTTCCTTTGTAATAAATAAATAAACAGCCAACATAAATAAATAGATTACAAATGCATTTGGAGCATTTGCTGTTAATAACAACGAGAAATAATAACGGTATTAATAGATGTATTAATAATACATCTCTCTCTCTCTCTCTCTCTCTCCTCTCTCTCCCCCCCTCTCTCAATATATATATATATATATATATATATGCCAATGTCTGTCTGTTTATTATTTTGACCTGCGAAAAAAAACAAACAAATAACTGCCTAGCCATACTGTTATTTTTGCTTTAGGCCTATTTTAGGCCTCAGAAGAAAGAAAACCTTTGTGAGATTCAGTCTCATTTCTGCTATTGGATGCCTGCAGGTGTTTTCGTCTGGATCGGAGGCTGTGTTTTGTTGAGTTTGCACAGTGAGGATGGTTTTGGAGAGGGGTCTTGTTATTAACTCACGAACACCTCTGACTGTCAGCTCATGCAAGTGTATCAGTGTCTCGTCAGTAAGCGAGTGAACGTGTGTTTTTGTGTATTGTGTATTGTGTCTGATACAGTCATATCATCACCCGCCCCCAACGCTTTGATTGTCTTGTACGCCGCAGCTCAAATGCACCAATTAATATGCAGAGAGTGAGTGAGACGGAGACAAAAAAAAAATGGAAAGGAAGAAAAAAACATGCGGGGGGGGGGGGTTCATGGAGAACAGGAAGGAGTGAAAGAAGGGCAATGAAATGACAGATGAAGAGGAAAAGAGAGACACATGAGGTGGTCTGAGGAGGAGATGAAATCTGATAGATTTAAGAGAGAAGAAAGGAAGAAAGAGGGATGGAAGAAGAGAGCAGGGGACCGATGGAGAATCAATACCTACATATTTAGTCAGAGATAGAGGGATCGATTGGGTGAGGATAGAGAGAGAGGGAGAGAGAGAGAGAGAACGAGAGTAGAGGGGTTAAAGGGGTGGAGTGATGTGGCATTGGCTGCTGTCTCTTTGTCGCAGTGTCAGGGTATTGATACTGTAATATCGCCATGACAATAGCACCGTGGCGACGGCCATGACGACGCCTGGCAGCACAATGCAGCAGCAGTACTGAGGGCAGTGAGGCATTACAGGCCAGAGAGGAACAGAGAGACAGACGGGGGGAGGTTGGCAGGTGCATGTCTGCTGCTCTCATGAATGTATATGTAACCATTATAGAAGCCCAAAATCGGCAAGTGTCTTTGGGTCGATCTGCTGGACTGTGGAGTAAAAAAAAAAAAAAACTGATTTATTTCATCCCCGTAGGCCTATACATCCAAAAGTCTGAACTTTGGGGGAAAATGAAAAAGGGCAACATTGTGAAAGTGAATAAAATAATTCAAGGTTCTGCTGGCATGTGAAGATGCTCTTGGGAACGTCAACTCACGCTGAAGAACATAATCATCAGGGTTTGGACGAACTTAAGGAGTTCATGTCAGCTGGCATTAATGCACAAAGGGAACATTTTTTCAATTCAGTTTAAAATTTTATCTTAAATTGTTCGGCTGATAATATGCGCATTCAAAAAAATATGTGTTAATCGATAAAAATGTAATCAATTTCATAACATTGGAATTACTTGAAGTTGATCGCCGCATATCAGTATCTGAAAAAAGTAAAGATTAGGACTAGTGTAGCATATAAAAAGTAAAACATTCAAAAGAAATGACAACGACCCCTTTCAGATTGTGATTATGCGTTTCCACATAATGCCATAAATGTAATGTACTGTACATTTATAACTGTATTTAATGTTACTCTGGCATCATATGGCAAAAAAAAAAAGTGTTTCTATGGAAGCCCATTTCCACCACATAAGGAAATAAATGCTCAAATAAAATCATAATTATGACATAAAAAGTTCATAATTGTGATACAAATTTTATTTGAAGATAAAATGTCAAAATAATGCGATGACAAAAAAAAAAATCAGATTTTTGTCTTATAATTTTGACTGCCATAATTGTCACTTCGTCATTATCCTCATTCTCATAACTTTGACGTTTTATTTCCAACGTTTTATGTGATAATTATGGATATTATCTAATTTATAAGTTTTCATAATTTAATTATATCAGGTTATATTTGACAATATATATTATTTAGGGCTGTGCAAAAGTTAATTGTGATTAATCGCATCCAAAATAAAAGTCTGTGTTTACATAATATATTTGTGTGTGCTGTATATAATTATTTTTTATATATAAATACCTATGCATGCATGTATATATTTAAGAATTATTTGCGCTTAAATTCTGTATACATTTATAAATACATAATCTATATTATATAAATATAAATATTTTATATATGAATAACACATTTTCTTAAATATATACATGCATGTGTGTGTATTTATATATACAAAATAATTATATACAGCACACACAAATATATTATGTAAACACAGACTTTTATTTTGGATGCGATTAATCGCAATTAACTTTTGCACAGCCCTAATATTATTACATGTTATTATGTCATATTATTTATTTATATAATTTTGACTGTCATAATTATAACTTTATTTCATAATTTCAACTGTGCCATGATTTGAACCTTTTCTCAATCATAAATGAGTATTTCGAAATATACCTCTAAATTTTAAACTGTATCTAATATATATATATATATATATATATATATATACAGTGTATACATATTTTTTTTGATGAAGAAATTAGTCATTTTCAGTTGTACTAATATTTCACAATATTATTGTGTTTTATTATTAAATATAACACAGTCTCATCCCAAAAAGTCATATAACTGACGTTTTGGGACGTATTTTGACCATACGTCAATATCAGCCTTTTTAGGGCCCCCTTAAACGTCGGTAGATGGCGATCCCGGGCCGTCATACAACTGACGCTTTACCTTTAACGTCAGTTAGGTGACGGGTTAGGTTTAGGGTTAGGTTTAGGTCTGGGGTAGAGTTAGGATCCCATAACCTCATCTACCGACGTTTAAGGGGGCCCTAAAAAGGCGAATATTGACGTATGGTCAAAAGACGTCCCAAAACGTCAGTTATGCAGCCTTGCCACCACATAATAATATTTTTGTATAATTCTGACTTTTTTAGCCAAAAACTTTTACTTTTCACAATTCTGACTTTTTAGTTATAAACTTTTATATTTAGAAATTCTGACTTTTTTTCCTTGGAATTCTGAGTTTACATCTCACAAAAAACTTTTTTTTCTTCCATTAAATAAAAAACAAGGCAACTTTGACTTTTCGTCTCTCAATTCTGACTTTTTTTCCTCCTCACAAATTAACCAGACTTCCATCTTAGATTTGGAAATTAATAGCTTGCAATTCTCAGTATAATTATCTTGTTTTTCAGATTTGTTTCCCCCAGAACTGTGAGATAAAAACTTGCCATTACCATTTTTTTTTTATTATATGGCAGAAAAAAAGCTTTTTTTTTGAACAAATAAAAAAACTCTAACCAGCCCCAAATTCTTATATGTTGGCTGCTCCTAAATGTACAATTGTTATTTGCTTTAAAGGTATAAAAATGCAAATTATCTGGCAGTGCAGAAAAGTGAAGAAAGGGGCATGGTACGAGCCAGATTCAAACCTGGGTCTGTGATCACAACAGTTCTTTTAGGTTCATGATCATTTCCCACTGCTCTTTGACAAATGAGTCTATTATTGGCGTTAATTGCAATGAAGGCATGTTTTCAGATAGCACATCTACTTGGTAACGTGTTGTAAAATCATCCTCGCCACATGCGTGATCTTCAAGACAAATGGCTGCTTGTCAGCACAGAAGTCAGTGTGAGTGACCGGCATTGCTCTGTCTCTCTCTCTCTCTGTATGATGTGTGCTTCCCCTCACTCGCCCCATCCCTCCTTAATATGATGTAAAAAGCTAATCGCATGCAAATGTCTGTTGTCCCGGTAACACGGCCGAAAAATCCCTTTGATGTTTCACCCAACTCATTCTCTCCACGTTCTCTTTGTTCGCCCGAGTCTCTCTGCCTCGTCCCCCCCCCTCTCTCTCTCTCTCTCTCTCTCTCACTCTCTCACTTTCTTCTTTTCCACCCCCCTCCCCATTTAAACCCATTCTCTCGCTCTCTTCACATTTCTATCAAGACAAAAACTTCTCTGCCCTCAGCCATACCTTTCTCACACTCGCTGCGTCTGCTGCGCCCCCCACTCACTCACTCGTCTGCCTCATTCTTTCGCTCTTGTTCTCCATCTCTACCCTCTCTGTGCCTCTCCGTCTGTCCCTCCTTCATTTCCCATCATACCATCTACTGTCTTTGGCCTCTCTCCCTCTTTCTCTCTGCGCGCTCTTTTCATCTGTTTTTTTTTTTTCCCTTCCCCTTTCAAAAATGTGATCCCTTCTGCTGGTCACTGAGTGGCTGCCATTTTCAGCGTGTCAGTAATGTTGTCAAGTGCGTATCCCGCATAATGCTCTCATATGCACCAAAATGTCATCAGGCTCTAAAATGGCTGCGGGGGGAAAAAAGAGGGAACAATTTGGTTGTGTTCATTTAATAATCCCACAAAGACAATTGAAGAGTTACAAAGTCAAAAAGGAGCATGCGATTTAAAGCATTCAAAAATGTAAACATTAATACATGATGAGTTCATGAGAGGCTTATAAAGACAGCTTGTTTGTCTGGCACACGTTCCTGTTTACAATCAAAACTATGAATCACGCCAAGGTATTTATGGTTTTGGGAGAGTTGGATCGCACACACGCCCCGCTTCGGAGAGTATTTTTGGCCTGAATGTGGGTTTAGTGCTGTGGATACAGTACATTCCTCCCACAGTTGCACAGGTTTGGGATCGGTCGGTCTTTCTCAGAAATTGGATTCATCCTCTGAACTGCCTAAATGATCAAATCATTTATTTTTACTATAGCATAGCACATTTTGTTGCTCAGAGGTTGCTCTTCCAAAATTCTCAGTTTTGTTTTTATTTCAGAATCAACATTGTCTAAGATGATTCTCCTAAAATTCCTTCAGTTCTTTGACTGCAGACTTTTGTCTTGGCACAGTTCTGAAACTTTTTTTTTTTTTTTTTTTCAGGATGATAATAAGGAGACTTCATACTCAATTTAATCTCCATTTAATCTACTATTACATTTATATTCGAGTTAAGCTTCATTAAAAGCATTTGTGGCAAAATGTTGATATTTCAACTCGACTCTCTTGGACCACCTTCTGAAAAAGTACTCTAGCATATGTTTAAAAGAACATACTTAAGTGTTAATATAATGAAAGACTAAAATGCATGTCTTAACTGAAAACAACTTGAACTGTTATGTCTTAAAGTATGTCAGGGCCACTGTTTTGTCTCAAGATGCACATCAGTAATGTTTTTATGTATTTATAAAAGCTACTTAAATGTCTTAATTCAACTAAGGCCTAATCCTGGCTTAATCTAAGCTCTGTCTGTGAAACCAGGCCAATGTTTTAAAATGTATTTTAAAGTACTGTATATATACAGTATATATATATAATATATATATTATATACGTATATACTGTATATATACAGTACTTTAAAATACATTATATTATATAACAGGCACAATTCAAATTGAATTGAGAATGACTACTAAATTACAATTCAATTCTTGAATTTGAATTGATGTCAAAACAGGATCTAGAATTACAATTCGAATTTGAATTAAAAGAAGCAGAATTACAATTCAATACAAATTCTAAGAAATTCATATATATATTTTAAGTGAAGTGTTGAACAATGTAGCTTTACAATATACAGTATGTCAGATATGATTGCATATTATATAAATTATATTAGTTTGAACTACCAGGAAATGTTTTCCCCCAGCAATAAATGTTAAAATCTCAAGTCCAGAACAAATAATAAGTTTGATCTATTGTACAAAGTAATTGTAAGGCCATTTCCCAGAATTACTTTAGTAAATCTTTAGGGGGGGGATTTCAGATTAAAAGGAAATTGCTTTACATTGATAACATAATCCAAACAAATTAATCTAAACCACATTTATAATGGGTTAACTTATAACAGTTAGCAATTACATAACCTTCCTAACCCTGACTGTAGGGGAGCGCGGGGCACAACGTAACGCGGGTCTAGTTGTAACACACTTGTTTTAAATACTTTCACACGCTATAGCATGACGTATTTACTTGTTGCCATTTCAACACTATACAGAGAAAAATTTGCGCCAAAATTTCGAGATCTTTGTAAGATATCACTGAACATTTAACCATAGCAAAAGTACATTTCCTGCTTAAGTTAATTTTTCATCTCTATTTTTTGTGTTTAATTAATATTAGACAAATCTGATATTTGTTAATCTCTAATCTGTAGTTTAACAGTTGATATAGTGCTTTAATGCTTCACTAACTAGCAGAAGACACTAGCAGGGTTTAAACCCCAGTTGTGCAGTTGGGGCATGTTGTCACACTGCGTTACATTGTGCCCCTATTAGAAATATGCTATTATATTCTATACTTCTATGAATTCTATTGAGAAAACATGAGAAACATGTAAATAAAGATTGAAAGTCAATGTTCAGAAATGATTAATTATTATTTTGTTTTGAACTATGCTGTATAGTTGTGTTTTCCTGTGTGTTTGTTGTCAAAATCAAAAATTTGATTATTTTTAATTATTAAAAAATGCCATTGTTTTATATGAAAAAGTTAATAATTTTGGTTTGACTTGTATATTTTTTTGATTAGGTGAGATAGCATTTTAAGCTGTCATATGGTGATGTTACAATGTACCCCACCTATGGGGCATGTTGTCACATTTAACATCTATTTCAGGGTAAATCAAGAAAAAAAGCATACACTGTATTAATAAAACAAAACCACATAATTGTACTAGACATGTGGGAAATTAATGTGGGAAAAAAATAAATACTATGAATAGATTTGCACAAACTGAGAAAGTCAAAAAGCGTTACGTTGTGCCCCACTTTCCCCTATGTGAGATTCAACACATTCTTTCTGTTGTGTGACTGCGTGGAATTTCTTTGAATTTCCATGAATTTACAATTCCACTTCCTGTCATTCCAATTCAAATTCAAATTCAACTTCTTGGGGGGTGGAGTCAATTCAATTCAAAGTCCAATTCATGAATTAAATGGAGGCTAATTCTGAAATTCTGAATTTTGCACAAGCCTGATATAAAACGGTCTCGACAAGTCGAACCACGAACTTGTCAAGACTGTTTTCCAAAGATGGTGCCGACTGTATACACAAAGTGGACTGTCTTTATAAAGTATCTTAAACGGTCTGTACACTTACAAAGTTCTCAATGCTTTGTTTTGTATTTAGGGACCCACATGGTGTTACCGTTTTTTGAGGCTATTTTGAGGCTTGTTAGTGGTATAGCGATTTCTTTTTACTTATTATATGCCCCCATTTACTGGCATTATATGCTAAACAGTTTTTAGAGATAAAACTCTTTACATTCGATTATCATGAAAACAAATCTCAGAGAACGGTCGACTAGGTACCAATGTTTTATTAGACCAAACGGTTGATTTTGCGCCGGAGTTCTCCTTTAAACTAATTTACATCTCAAATAATAAATGTTTTAATAGGAACATTATTTAGGTACCTCAATAAAATGATAACTTGTGCTTTTAAATATAGGCCCCCATTCACTTGTAAGAGCCAAACCAGAAGTTTGATTCTTGAGTCAACATATTTTTTTTTTTTTTTTTTTTTGTGGTAATCGAACACTATGCCACAAATGCAGTTGATTGAACTTAACCCAGAAATTAATATTCATTTAAAAAGAAACTATTTGGGAATTTGCTTTTATACAGGTGTATCAGCACATCAAGCTCAATAAACAACTTGAAGTAAAAACTCTTTAGCACAAGGCAAACAAAAACTCTAGCTGTTGATTTATCAGTAAAATAAATGCTCAGAAGCTAACAGTTTCCACCATCTAAAATATGCAAAAAGACAGATGACTTGAAGTACAGTCGAGCTTATAAAGGATGATTTTCCAGAGTCAGACTTCATAAATTCAAAAGTGGATTACAACTGCTCGAGTCAGAGTCAGTTTTTACGTGGTTGAACCTTTGAGTAGATTAGCGTTCCAGCATCTAATACTGCTTAAGACTGTGCAGAATCTTACTAATAGAAAAGCTGAGGGCGGAGTTAAATAATTACATAACTCATAAAGCAAAACACACCATCCATAGCAGCTCTCTTTTGAAAAGCAGGTCTGGATTTGGCTCTCGGATTGGCCATGGCAATAAAAGACAGCTGGTGCTTAACTAAACTCAGAGAACGGAGAATAAAACGTTCCCTCTTTCTTCAATACTCTGAGATGGAGATGGGCCGAAATACCAGATGTGTCCTCAGCCAACAGTCTATTTTGATTTGATATCACAAAGCGCAACTTGCTGCATTGACAGAATCTTTCGACAGCAATATTTCAAAATCACAGCAAAAGCTTACGTTTGGAAAAATCTTGCGAAATGCATGCGTTTGGTTCGGATTCGATCCACATTTGCATCACAGATTACAAAACAAAACTTTTACAATGATGTATGAAGCTCCATGTGACTTCTGTAGAATTTGGTGAATAACGCAGCTAAATCTTGCGTCGTTTTGTCGTTCATTTCAATCTTTTCATCATTCAAGTGCACTTAAATAAAGATATCCACCTAAAAGTCAACATGAAAGGTCAAGTTCGCTTTCCAGAACATTTCCATGTTTCTCAATTATTCCCCTATCTTTATATTATTTACAGTCAAAATGGATAGTTATTACATTTAGATAAAAGATTATGAAGATAAACACTTTTTCTTTTGGTATAAATGTACACAGTTGAATCGTGCACACCAGTAAAGTCTATTGAGAATGTATAATTTGATTCCATGTTGACTTGAATGTCATCTTTTTTAGTTGCTAATGTGTGTGATGGGCCTGAGACTGAAAGTCAATTAAAAAGAGGAACTGAAATGATAAGAAGCGAGACGGCTGCTGACACATGACCTCCAGTCTTCTGTAATACTGTGTTCATATGGCTGTGTGCGTCTCATGATCCAGTTTGTGCCCAGTTGTCCCAGTCGTAAATATATGCGTTGATGAAAGAAACCGCGCCCATTTTGTCTGGGGAGCAGACAAAAAATATGCTATTATGCATACATACTGTATGTGTGTACAACTGATGCATCAGGCTCATAGCATGATATACTGAGAATAAAAAAACACCTACATTTTATTCAAAGGCTCAAACTCGGTAAATATATACAATTTGTTGCAGATATTGATTTTTATATGGTCAAAAAGTAAGATGAAATTCTGAGAGCTTGTAATGTAAATCAATGAGATACATAAAACAGTATAGCAGACTATTTGAATAAAAATGTAAATACATTTTAGTTGTCAATTTGTCACTTGCCCGTATATGGGCAACCTAAATTTACTTCACTATATTACTATTAAATCCTAATCTAGTCATGACAAACTAAATATCGTTGGAAAGGTCTAAGACTCCTAAATAGATATTTTAGTGCTGTTTTTTTTCTTACGAATTAAGATTGAACAGTAATATATGAATTTATGACAAGAGTGCGCATCAAAAAATTGAAATCGTTACATGAGTTTCTGACCTTTGTCAACATTAAGTCGAAGCACACACTTTTAATAATTGAAACTTTTTTAGTGCTAAAAGTTCGTAATAAAACATAATCTAGTATCTGTCAATAAAAAAGATAAAATTTTATTTTAAAAAGTAAAGCAAGAAGTCCTCTAAAAAGTATTATATATACATATATATATGATTACGAACTCAGAATTCATCCTGTGAAAACCGTTTTGAAATTGGATGTTGCGTTACCATAGAAACGGTATTTTTTATTAGGCCCCTCCCCTTTTGGGCATTATCTTTCATAATTTATTATCAAAATCTTTTCTACTCTTGACAAAACACATATTGTCAGAAAGGTCTGAGTCTTATGGTTCCATATTTAACAGAAGTGATATTTGGATAGAAATGTATTATTTTGTTATTGCACAATGCATACAATTAAATTCAATGGCACCCGGTGGCTATTTTTGGTATAACGCCTAAACAAAATCTCATGGGAAGTTCAATTTTTGTAATATCAACTTTAAATTTGGAACACAACTTGGTTAGATATACTGTATAGCTTTCATTTTATAGTAATTTTATAGTAAAAAATATTTAGTAAAATATATATTTTATATAAAAAAATATATATATATAGGGTTAGTAAGATGTTAATCAAATTATTATAGTTTTATGATCAACACTCTGCAGTTTAAAAACATATAATGCAATGTAATGCACTGATAAATAAATAAATGTTCCTCAAAAGCCCAATGGATCATATCATATTTGAACATGATTTCTAAAAAAAAAAAAAAAAAAATTATGGATTTTCAAGTAAACCAAAGTTGCTTCAGGCAGTAAGAGTTCATTTTGAACAGTAAAAAGGACACATGAACCATGACCTGACGTGGGCGTTTTTACAATTATACTAAAAGGCCCTTTACTTACTAAAAAAAAAATTCAATCAGACAGCAGGTGGTATGTAGTAGATGTAGTTTTCAGCCAAGTTGATCATGCCATAATTTAGAAGCTATCTGTATTTCAAATATGATACAGTAGTTGTAGGGTTAAATGTGCATTTAATAGTACAGTATATTAATGTTTTGTTGAATAAGCCCCTGCTGGTAAATGCTGCAACTGCACACTCTGCTTTTAAAAAGCATTATTCCCCCACATATTCTGAATAAATACATAAACAAGCAACATATTATGGGTAAAAAAAAAATTTAGTAGAAGAAAAAAAAAACATAATATCACATTTAAAATACTTACATGAGTTTTAAGACTTGCATTGTGAGCTGATATGACTCAGACAGAAGTGGAGGGTGAAGTGCTCTATAAAACACAATTACATATCATCATCATCATCATCATCTTTACTCACTGCTTGTGTGTGTATGTGAATGTGTGTGACTCACCTGAGTGTGTCCTGTTTGCTCGCTGTTTCTCTTTGAATCTCTTGCAGAGGCGGGTGAGTCGCCCCCTTTCATGCTGCCCACAGAAGATGAATCTGAACAACTGCTCTGAACTGACAGAGAGAACGAGAAAAAGAATAAAAACGTGTTCAAAAATAGTCTAGTGTGGCTCTGAGTTCATAATTGTGTTCACAAAAAATGTATCATCTATATAAGTGGTAATAAAACAACCAACATAACATATGTAATCCATATAAAAAGTCTAGATCAGTGATCACATGATTGATTTGTCTTAAGCCACGTTTTAAGCATAGTTTTGAAAATACTGTTTTAATGTGATGAGAGATAAAGTGACATCTGTTGGAAAACAAGGAGTATTGCAAGTAGTGAAGGAACGCCGCGTCCAAAATCGCATTCTCTCTTGAGTAGGTACTTATTTTGAATAAGTAATCGCTTCACGACCGCTAAAAAGCATGTTCTATACAGTATGAATGTGTGTAGTATGAATGTTCGCCATATTGGTATGTAGATTCACCTGTCATTATCATGTGACCTACCAGCATAAGTTACGTCGCTCCACTGTCATTCACAAATCCTCTCTCGTGGGTACATTTTTACCAAATATTTTATAAGTACTGTGAATTCAGACAAACTTCGTTTGTCACATTCTGTTTTTCGCCTACTATCTTATAGGGAAGTATGTGATTTTGGATGCAGCCGATAAATGTGTGCGTGTGTTTGAACCTACCAAACCATATTTTGGGGACAAGTTTGTAGCTGATCCTGACAAAACCTTATTTTGGGGAAGTCTTCAATTGTCAAAAACGGTATAAAAATAAAGTATATATATATATATGAAGAGTTCAGATGCAAAAGCCTCTAAATGCCATTTGAAATTTTCTTCTAAAATGACCATTTTTATCAAGCTTGTATATTAAGTTCAGTAATTTCACTTAAATGACAATTAATAGGTAATCTTCATTGCCATTTACGTGAAATTACTGAACTGAAATATACAAGCTTGATAAAAATGGTCATTCTAGAAGAAAATTTCAAATGGCACTTAGAGGCTTTTGCATCTGAACTCTTCATATATATATATTGTAAAAATGTAGAAAGGTTTCTTTTAGGGTTACGTTATAGTATGTATGAGTAGCTGCATACAAGTCTATGCATTTAAGATGTGTGTGTTTGTACCTCTGTCGTTCAGGCTGAAGCTGGAGTCCAGTTCTGAAACTTGAGCTCCTGTCACATCCAGTAGCAACTTACTGGAAACTCCCATACACAGAGACTCCTTCAGACACAACTCTACACACACACACACACACACACACACACCTTTTTGTCAAATATGAGCATGATAATGGATGTGGCATTCTCTACAATAAATTATGTCTGTGTGACTTCAGTATACAAGTACATTTTTAAGAGTCCAAAGTATAGAAAACATCATTAAACATGATGGTTAATGAACAAAACAGAATACAATGTGGAGTAAAGAATAATTTAAGTCTCATTTGCATAAAGAAAAGACAAAAGTGCAAATGCAAATCAATGCCTTAATGACTGACACGGCTCCAATTCCCATAATTAATCATTAAATCACAAATTGGTGTTTCCCCAAAACTGCCCCTAGACAAGATCCTGCAGAAAAAGAAGAAGAAGAAGAAGAAAAACATATACACGGACAGAAGACATCTAATTAAACTGTCTTTTAACATTGTCTTAATTATACATAAATAACTAGGTCAATAACTGCAAAGTATTCATATTTAAGAGCTCATTAATTAGGGAGAATGGGCACTTAGTTAATAGAGCAGAACTTTGTGGTATTTAACTAATGGATTTTTGACAGTAAAATCTAAAGCTTAAGCTTAAAATTCAAAAACTGTTCAAAATCCTAGTACACTGCCTACTAAGACTACTTCGTACTTCCTCTCTATTTCAGTTCGCTTCTGTACTCAGTCCGAGACGTCGACATCGAAAACAGCCGGCCAATCAATGAACAGAGGGCGAGCTGAGAGCCGTGATGAAGACGCTAAGCACCGGGTTTAAGATATTGGGTGTTTCTCAAAACCAAGAATGCAAAGAATGAACTTGTGTTCTTGGGGAGAACACTCTTGCTAGTTGTTCTTGGAAGAATGAACTCACAAGGTGACGAGCACACAGAACGCTGCTGACAGTTTGAGACGATCTGTTCTTGCTGGTATTGCGCAATAATACCCCCACACAGACACCGTCTGTAGTACCCAAACATAACGACAATTATTGACCATAACAGCCAGGCTGCAATGGTATCTTGACTGTGGGGTAAAACGAGTCTGTGAGCAAACTGGCCGGTTTGCTTGCTGGCTAACACCTGCAGGCACTTATGGAGATTCTCACTTCCAAAAACGTTTGAGCACATTTTCGATTCACCATAAATCTTCGTAAAAAAAATGCCAATATTTGAAATCTACACTGTTGATTTCTCGCATCAAATGTTCTCAGAAGTGATTTTAGTGAACTAGCATAGGCTACGTAATTGTAGAAAAACTAATTACCTGCCTGGCTTTGACCTGCCTCTCCTTCCTCGAATGCCGAATTGAATGCTGGGATATTTCTGCCATCAAGCTCACAAAAGTTACCAACCGATGCATCCTTGGTAAAATGGGCGTGTCAAGAACACATCCAGGATTTTTAACCGTTCTTGCCAAAATGTAAACTTTTGTAAATAATTTATTAATAATAATTTTATAAATCAACTTAAGTAAATAATAAGACACTGAACATTGATTTGAGTTGAAATACATAATTAGGTCTTTAAACGCAAAGCTTCCGCAAAGAAAGCAGTTGCTAGCAATCAGCAAGTTCAAACTATATAACAATACTGATTTGAGATTAAACTGTTTTAAAAATCTTACCTTTTTGGTATTTTATAATCCATTACAGTTTACAAAATAATCACTGCAAAATGGCAGCTCATGTTGTTCCAAACCCATAAAACTTTCATACATCTTCGAACACAAATGGAAGATGTTTTTAATGAAATCTGAGAGATTTGTTCTTTCATTGATAGCTAGGCAACTACCACTTTGATACTTCAAAAAGTTAATAAAGAGATCGTAAAACTAATCCCTATGAATTGAGTGGTTTAGTCCAAGTTTTCTGAAGAGACAAGATCACTTTATGGGCCCTATTTTAACGATATAAAACGCAAGTGTCAAAACGCAAAGCGCAAGTAACTTTGTGGGCGGGTCCCGGCGCTGTTGCTATTTTCCCGGCGGGATAAATGCCTCTCGCGCCTGGCGCAAATCTAAAAGAGGTTGGTCTGAAGTAGCTTCATTATTCATAGGTGTGGTTTGGGCATAACGTCAAATAAACCAATTAGAGCGCTAGGAGCGTTCACAGCCGAGGAGACCGACGTTCTTGTCAGGGCAGTAAAAGACAGAGAAGTGACGTTGTATGGGGATGGGAGAAACCCTCGCACAGCGTCGGTTAAACATTATATATGTATGTTTCTTGCCACTACTGGGCAAACAGGTCTGATCCTTTAGTACTGCAATTAGCCTTAAAAAATGGGTAATAAGGTTTTTCATCTTCATGTAAAGCACAATGATTTCCCTCATGTTTTAATATTTTTCCTTGTTATAATGTATAATTTGCACAAATAAAAACTGATGCATCTGTGTTGATGAGAGAATCAAAGTGTATGCGCACTGTGCACCCGCTACATTATGGCCAAGCATGCGCGCTTAAAATAGCATTATGAACAATGAGCAACGCGCCACTGACTTTAGACCAGGTTTTTTCTGGTCAGTGGCGCAATTGTTTTCTGGAAGTGTAAAATAGCACCAGGGAATATTTGCGCCGTAAAACACGCCTTCTTTTTGCGTCGATCCGCCCAGGGAGCGCAAGTTCATTTCCTAGTTTACTGAACGTGCGTCTGTGGAGGGAAAAATCCCGCTTTGCACGTGTGCAAAATAGGATTGATACATGCGTTTGTGTATAAAGTCATTTGCGCCGGGTGCAAGATAGAGCCCTATATGATGAACAACACTCGTAAAAAGTGCACTTTGTAATTATTTCAAACTAAAGTTAATTTCTAACATTTTAAATCATTATGATTTAATGATAAAAAAAAAATCTTATTTTAAAGGTCCCGTTCTTCGTGGTCCCAGGTTTCAAACTTTAGTTAGTGTGTAATGTTGTTGTTAGAGTATAAATAATATCTGTAAAATTATAAAGCTCAAAGTTCCATGCCAAGCATGATATTTTATTTAACAGAAGTAGCCTACATCGAACGGCCCGTTTGGACTACATCCCTCTACTTCCTTCTTTAATGACGTCAGTAGAACAGTTTTTTTGACTAACATCAGCCCACAGGAATGCTCCCTCAACTCCTTCAACTTATAACTTACTGTGTTTACTCAGCTCTTACGCTGATTTTCTGAAGTAAAACTGACGCTTCATCTTTTGTGTGATGTGCAATAAACTTTATTAAACTCATCAGTGTATGTTTGATCATCATTCGGACCTGGGGTCTCATTTATAAAGTGTGCGTACGCACAAACCAGGGCTGGATAGGTACGTACGCCAGTTTCCACGCAAAGGTTGTGATCTATAAAAAACAAACTTGAAGGGAGAATGTGCGCACCTTTAAAGAGCCCCTATCATGGATTTTTGAAAATGACTGTTCATGTGGTGTGGAATATAGCTCTAAGGAATGAAAACATCCTGCATACAAAGGAAACATCCAAAGATTTATATCTGAAAGTGCACCGTATATAAAGTTATTGTCTTTCAAAAGTGAGAGTCGACTCTGAGTCTATGAAATGAAACGAGTCATAGCTGTTTCGTAGTGATGTAGATACGAAACATAAGCATATTGGCCGTGCCCAGTTACTGCGCGCGCAGACTAGGGATGGGCGTGATTAATCGACGATCGATTATTGATCATTAAGAATTTCGTCGATCACGTTAATTTGTTGTTGATTATCATTAAACTAATGCTGCTGCGTTGCGTAGTGTGAGTGGAAAGTGAACGTGTTCTCCAGGCTGGTCATGTTAGCGCGGAGGTACCTGTGCATCCCGGTAACATCAGTCCTCCTCATCAGAGAGATATTTCAGCGGCTGGACTGAAGCATTTGTTCACACTCGGCACGTCCGAAAAATGACGTCTTTGAGTTTGCGGTATTCGGTGTTTCACAATCAGGCGAGCGCGTCAAGTATAAACACCTAGACTGGAGCAGAAGTTGTATGTGAGTTATTTTTTATGAGGCTTTAAGTAGCCTATTGATTGTTAGGTAGGATAATCTCTCTCACCCTTTCTCGACTGGATAGTTGAGTTAACGTTACATTTTGACAAAACCTGTCAGATATAAATATTATTATGTTTTTGGTTAAGTTATTTATTTATTATTTTGGAACAAACGAAGGCAGCTGCAGGTTCAGTTGCGTTAGAGAACAGCCGCGCTTCAAATTTAGCCTAACTGAACGCCCAGTTTAACTGCCACAAGTTCATTATCTTGTAAGATCTAATCGAGGAAAAACACTGCATTTTTGTATTTTCATTGCATTTTAATTTATAAAAAGTTAAATAAATAATAAATTTGAATATAAAAATATTAATGATTAATCGATAGTCGATCGTTAATTCTTCCGACGATCGACTAAGAAAATTGAATCGAATGCCCATCCCTAGCGCAGACGGAAGTGTAAACTTGAAGTCTAGAACACAAATACTTCAGCTGAATAGCGTCATGTCGAGAAGACGCTGTGTTCTACAATGCAAAGATAGTTCAGCCACTTTGTTTTCATTTACCAGGGACGAGCATGTGAAGAATCGGTGGTTAGAGTTCATATTTGCAACGATATCACAACAGTATAGCCCGATTGTGTTCTCATCATTTTAATGACGACTCATTCAAAAACATAAATGAATTCAAATGTGGATTCGCAAGCCGGTTGTTCCTGAAGGAGGTCTCAGCACCCAGTGTATATGGATCAGCTTCCTCCTCCGAATCACAACCTGTAAGTATTATTAATAATTGTTGCTTTTATGGGTTTTGTAGCGTCGGGGAGCAAGGAGGGAAGGCGCAATAAGTATGTGTGAGTGTGCACGCGTGTGTGTGTGTGTGTAAGTTACGCTCAGCACAGCTTCTAGGTCTCCAATGTCAATTTTTTTAAATATGTGAAATGTTTGTCACTGTTATTGGAGTTGTCATAAAGAATAGAGCGTCTTGTAGTACTGCAGTGCTTTATCAATATGTTTATGCGTTGGGCTAACAAACAATAACTGACTGGGTCATCTGACCAATCACCGCCGATTAACGTTACGCAAAGGAGTGGTTTGGAAAAATGAGTCGTTGTACGAATCATTTGGGAGCCGGTGAGCAAATCAGGTAAAAATAAATGCATATTATAAGACAACAAAAGTGTTTTTTGTCATTGCATTCATGTAAAACTGTTGTTGGGCACTCCCAGAACAATATTAGGAACATTTTAAATGTCATAATAGGTGCCCTTTAAGCAAAATTTAAGCCTTGCGTAAGCACATTCTGGAGACAAAGGAATTGGCGACACCGATGGTGAGCTGGACTTAAATGTCTTTTTGGTCACTTTTAGACCGAAAATCTAAAGAAAATTAGAAAGCTAATAATAAATAATGGATACATACAAGCAGATGACAAATATGTTATAATAATAACCATAATTGAACTAGTCCCAGATAGCAAACTGACATTGAATCAACGTGGAAATATGACATCGAAACAACGTTGATCTGACATTGTTTTGCTCATTGAATTAACGTTGAACCAACGTCAGACGCGTCATTCTTTCAAAACTAACGGAAAATCAACTTGAAATCAACGCGTTGTTTCAACGTTATGAAAGCAAACTAATTTTCGATTTTCATTTAGCTTTGAAGAATGCCGCGTCTGACGTTGGTTCAAGGTTAATTCGATGAGCAAATCAACGTTGTTTCAATGTCATGAGAGACGTCGTTTCCACGTTGATTCAATGTCAGTTTGCTATCTGGGGTAAACTATACCTGTTCCATCTCTATACAGCACTCTGACTCTGTAGGCATTATTGTCCGACTCGAAATGAACACCGTTACTGAGAGTTTCTGATATTATCATCATTCCATGAGATGAAATTGTCCCTAGAGATTGCGCGCGAGCTCATGAAGCTCCGCCCCCTGTGCCGGCAGCAGCAGCAGCTTATTTGCATTTAAAGGGCACACACTAAAACAGCGTGTTTTTCTGAGCCTCAAAAAATGACAATTTAAACATGCTGTAAAAAATGATCTGTTGGGTATTTTGAGCTGAAACTTCATATACACATTCTGGGGACATCAGAGACTTATTTTACACCTTGTGAAAAGTGGCATAATACGGGACCTTTAAAGAAGTTCACTTTATTGATGTGTTGACTAACAGACTACAGACAGGTATTGATTATAATTTTAACTGTACTGTGTTATTCAATTTTACATTTAAAGTTTATATTTTAAATGTACAAAATTACAACTTGATTAAGATGCATGATTAAAATACTTGCCATACAAGTTTCAAAACAAATTACATTAAAGTATATTTTAGTTTACCATAAGTGCTTGTCAGTACATTTGACAGCATTGAACCATATTTAAATTTCATAATTATGAATATGGGATTTACTTAAAACTACTTAAGTGGGTCAAAAAAACACTAAAGTTCAGCTAAGTGGATTTAATATAAATTTACTATATAACTACATACAAAACATTTAATTTAATTGCATGTCTCAAACCATTACATTCAGTTGACACTTAAGTATATTCTTTGAAAGTATATTATTTCTGTAATAACAAGTAATCTTTTAAATCTATGCTAAAGTGTACTATTTTTCACAAGGGGAATGTTGCGAAATGTCAGCTATAAACATAGTCATATTTTATTCAATTCTGGATCAAAATAAAATTATCAACAGGAAAAGGAACAGAGTAATACACAACAGACATCAGAGATGAGAGGAGACTGGTGATGTAAAGGTGAGAGGTCAAAGGTTAGTTCCTGACCTGTGTTATGGATGGCATGAGTCCAGAGCAGCTGTGCGATATCGTGGGTCCAAGCTCCTCTTTCCTGCACGCTGGCAGCCTGGAGAGTGAGACAGTCCCTGGTGCGAGACACTTGTCTCACCCACACCTCAAACCTCAGTCCGTCTTCCCCGACGCTCTGAGTGAGGCCCATCTCACCCGTCTGAGGAAACACAGTTAGTGTGACGTTCTAAGATCAAATCAGTGTGTATGTGCAATGACCTGAAGAAATATCAGGAGTATATAAGAAGTGAGTTTTACTGAACAGACTACCAATATTAGGAATATTTGGACACACTAAAAAAAATGGCATATAAAATAATGGCACTTATTACAGAAATAATATATTTAATAGAATATACTTACAGAAAATACTCATATTAAAAAACTTTATAAACTATAATCACTTGCTACCGACAGACGGCCGTGCGAAGCTCAGGGGAAAGAGCAAACAAAACATTGGTCGCAATTTGCAAATTAGCCATTTTGAAGAGAAATGTCGGAGGATTTCTATATAATAGAAAGGAGCTTCAATTTGTTGCACAGCCCTATTTGTTTTAACCCACCGGATCCATGTGGAGTATTTTCATCATGGATGGATGCACTTTTTTGGGCTTCAAATTTTCTCCAGCCACTCCCATTATAAAGCTTTGAAGACCCAGGACATGTTTTAATACAACTCTAAATTCGTCTGAAAGAAGAAGCTCATATGCACCTAGGATGGCGTCAGGGTGAGTAAATCATGGGCTAATTTTCATTTTTGGGTGAACTAACCCTTTAAGTGTTTAATGTAATGTAATGTTTTCAGAGACTTAATTGCATGTTAAATGCAATTAGCTGAACTCTAGATTGCCTTTTGACCCACTTAAGTAGGACTTAAGTACATCTTTCTGTGTAATTTCATAATTATAAAAATGGTTTGTTTACTGCTGAATGCACTGACAAGCATTTATGTAAACATTTATGTGAACTGAAATGTATTCTAATGTAATTTTTATTGAAACTTCAATGTCATCTACTAACATATTAGTGATTACACATTTGTAATAATGAAGTAGCAATTTAGTATATTTAAAATATGATTTTAAATTTAATATCAAAAACACACTACAGTTGAAAATATAATCAGTATGCCGTAGTATGTTAGTCAACACATCAGATGAAGAAGTGTACTTCTTTAAAGTAAAATAAAATATTATAAAAACATGATTTAAAATGTCAAATTAAAAGTTTTACTGTAAAAGTGCATTATTACAAATCGCATTTTACAAAGTGGGTTAAGAAATATAGTAATGAAAGTGTACTCTCTTTAAGTACACTTAAGTGGCCTATTATTTCATTAATCTTATATTATTTAAAAGTACATATTTTTAAGATATACTTTTAAGAAAATTTGAAGTAAACTACAAATGCACATTCACTACAGTTAAGCACACTTTTTTTTTTTTTTTTTTTTTTTTTTTTTTACCAGAGTCAGTGTCACATAAACAACTCACCTTTAACGAGGTCGTGTGAAATTTATCGCCTCATATCGCCACAATTTTTTATCGCCACAATTTACTGTGCAGTACACTAGTATCCCCCCACAGCCTGAGTGAGTGTACCTTAATGCTGTGTTTGAAACTGTACACACTGCATCCCGGGTTGGGTGTTTTGTGTTTGGTGAAAATGACGTAGTTCTGATAGAGGAAGACGTTTCTGATTCCTGTCTTTTTCCGTCTGCCTCCACCGCACACACACAGCTCACCCTGACGCACTAGCTCTCCACGCTCCGCCACAGGTATCTGAAACACATGCGTTGGATTTTCATATTTTATTGGGAGATTCCATAAATTAAATCATTTTTATACTGTACAGACTGTATCCCCTACATAAACATCACAGAAAAACGCATAGGCCTACTTCATTTTGATTTATAAGCACAGCAGAGCATCATCTTGTTGTTGTGTGATTTGATATGCTATGGAGGATGCATCAATATTGAAGTTATATATACACTAAAAGTTTGGGAACATTAAGGTTTTTAATGTTTTTGAAAGTAGTCTCTTAATCTTACCAAGGCTGCATTGATTAAAAAATACAGTAAAAAACAAAATACTGTGAAATATTATTGCAATTTGAATGAACTTGTTTCTGCTGTAATCTATTTTAAGTCATTTATTCCTGTGGTGCAAAGCTGAATTTTCAGTAGCCATTACTACAGTCTTCAGCATCACATGAATTTTGATCAGGAGATTCTGTACTCTTTCAGAAGATTCCTAATAGCGCCCCCTACTATATAACAATGAAAACATGGAAAGCCGGAAATTTCTGTCAATGGTGGGGAAGTATAGTCTCACAAATGACACAGTAATTTCTATCAATGGCGGGGACGTCTGTTGAGATGTTAACAGATGTTATTTTTTTTTATCCAAAGCCATTTTCAGTGCTTTCAAGGTATAAATCCATGCAAGACTATGTGTTAGAAATGGAAATAAGGAAAAAAAAAATATGTGTTATGGAAATAAATAAATTTGTTGTTGGCAGCAATTTGAGCTACATGAAACCGTGTTGTTATAGTTTTTATTAATATCTTGAAGCCATATATATATATAAATATATATATATATATATAGAGAGAGAGAGAGAGAGAGAGAGCACTATATTTTGAAGAGTAAGTAATTTTGAAGAATGTTCCAATTGATTTTGTCCATACAATGAAAGTCAGTGAGGTCCAAATCAACAATGCTGTGGTGATATTAAAAGTGATGAAGATACTGTAAAAGTAATGAGCTTAATTTCATAATTTCAGACCTGTAATTCTGATGTTAAAGTGCCCCTATTATGGTTTTTCAACCATATTACCTTTATTGCAGTGTGTAATAGAGTGCCGAAGGTATGACGTCACTTTGTAGGACAACTTATGCATTTTCCCCACAGACTTTTGGAAAATCGCAAAATATAAGATCTGTGTTCAACAAAGAGTTGTGACCCTTACACGTTTTGTCCATCAAGATATATTCTTAACAAGTTAATCCAAAATGTATACATTTTGAAGCCTATATAAAGTTTTAAAAACAAGCAGACACAATAAAGTTGAAAAAACAGAAGCAGGTTATTAATGGTGTGTTTTTAGAGGCTTTGTTAAGCACCGACCTTATTTCAGGCAATTTAGCAAAAACCATAGACTTTAGAGCATTAGAACCGGAAGTGCTAAAATGCTAACTTACTTTTGCGTTTGGCCTACAGAGAGACGTCATAACTTCGGCACTCTATAATGCTGTTTGTGAATGTAAACATAAACTATTGCCGCTTTTCCACTGCATGGTATGGCTCGGCATGGCACAGCTTGGCTCGCTTTGCTTTTCCACTGCAGTTTAGTATCGCTTCAATATGTGTGGGATTATAGACTGATCGTTATAGATGCTGAAAAACATTTTCATTCCTCGTCGCCCCATCTAGCTCTCGGCTGTTCTCAGCTACCAACCAGAGGAACGTCTATACCTCGTCTACTGACCATGAATCAGGTATTCAATTTTTTTTTTTCAAGCAAGTCATTTAAAAAAAATGGACGAACAAATGATATTGCAGTGGCTGTTGCTGTCTACTAAATCTAGCGTGTTTGGCGTCTCGTGTTGCAAATCCAATGACAATGGTAGTGACAATTCTCTCAGACCAATCAAGTGATCTGCAGTGTGTACACGTCACATTTAAGTATCGGTGTGGTACGCTTGGAATCTCAACAGAGGTGGTACTATTTAAGCGAGTTGTACTGAACCGTACCATGCAGTGGAAAAGCACGAAAAGTTGTAAAGTCGAAAGTGCACGATAAATAGTTATTATCTCCCAAAAGAATGAATCAACTCTGAACCACCTAAACATGTCGTCTGTCGAGTCCCACTGCGCTACAGTTCTACATCACTAGACAAAACATTTGCATAATGCCCACCTATCACCTTGACCTGCCCTCAAACATGTAATTTTACTGACAACTGCTTCACAAATCTCAAAGTTCAGCAAGGAATTCCCAAAATGCTTTCTCTTGAAAGACTGGTACCCAGTATATTTAGAACAGCTTGCGAGTTTCCGGCAAACTCGCGTTATTTCTGTCTTACTGAAATAGTTCTGCTAAGCAGCTGTGTGCCACTATTACCTAAAACTGTGTCTATTAATGTAGATTGTCTTTTGTTCTTACTACTTTGAGTAAAGATAAAGGATGGAGCAAGATTTGCATCACAAACTTTAATGTTACATTAGTCATGCACGTTAGTGTTCGGCTAACATATAACCGTTATTAAAGTGATAGTTCACCCAAATATGAAAATTAAGTCATTAATTACTCACCCCCATGCTGTACCAATCCCGTAAGACCTTTGTTCATCTTCGGAACACAAATGAAGATATTTTGATCAAATTTGAGAGCTGGATCACTGCTACATAGGCTCCTAAGGGAATAAAACTTGACGGCCCAGAAAGTCATTGAAGAAAATGTTTAAATATTCCATGTGACTACAGTCGCTCAACTATAAGTTTATCAAGTGACGAGAATACTTTTTGTGCGAAAAACAACAACAAAATTAACGACTTTATTCGACAATTCCTTTTCTTCCTTGTATGCCTGAGACGGGAGTTCAAAAGATTGAACGCATACGCGTCGTGGAAATCTCTTGAACTCTCGTCTCAGGCATACAAGGAAGAAAAGGAATAGTCGAATAAGGTTGCTATTTTTGTTGTTTTTTTCGCACAAAAAGTATTCTCGTCGCTGATAAACTTATATTTGAGCGACTGTAGTCACATGGAATATTTAAACATTTTCTTCAATGACTTTCTGGGCCGTCAAGTTTCAATCCCTTAGAGTGCCTATGTGGCAGTGATAGGCACCCTAAGGGATTGAAACTTGACCTCTCAAATTTAATCAGAAATATCTTCATTTGTGTTCCGAAGATGAACAAAGGTCTTACGGGGTTGGTACAGCATGGAGGTGAGTAATTAATGACTTTTTGGGTGAATTAACCCTTTAATAGTTAATAAAGTTCCAGCATGTGCACCACGATAAATTAGAAATATACACATCAGTTTGTTGATGGACATACACTTTTTAATGCTGATGCTGATGGTGAGAAATTACAGTTGGAACATCTCATAATGGAGGTTCGGGGTGAAAATCGACATCATCGTCGAACGTCTTTACAGTGTGAACAATCGCTGAGGACTTGACCATCTGGCCAAACAGAGCAGACTAGCTCTCAGAAAGGGGGGTTTTAGAGAGATTCATCCGACGAGTTGTTTGATAATCGCTGAAAAATGTGGTGATGTGCAATGTATATTATGAGAAAATTAAAGTGTTTCTTGATCTTTGATGCATGTGAACCTATTGTAAGAGACCTCCAAAAAATCTAAAATAGGAATCTTTAAAAATAGCATAATAGGGGTACTTTAAAATGTTAGAATGTTAGCATGTATAAGTTATAATATTGTTGTTGTTGTGATCTGTTGTGCTTTAAACTGCATCAAGCTTCTCTCTTTTGACCACCAGGAGGCAACACTGCAGTGGAAATGCCCACTGTGACTTCACAAAGACATACTGTAGACTCAGACATGAATGGATGTGTTATTCTCTTACTAGACACCCCGTGATGAGATCACTGGCTCGCAGATCTGCTCCATGCCGCTGGGCGTGTCTTAGGATGGAGAGGGGGGAGTCTGAAGTGGGATTAAGACCGCCCAGTTCCTCTAGTGTCTGGCAGTACTGCTCCAGTCTCTGAATGGGAGTGGAGAGACACTGAGGAAATGGAGGAGCAGGAACAAGAGAGGAAGACAGCTTTGACTGGAGAGACAGAGAGAGAGAGAGAGAGAGAGAGAGAGAGAGAGAGAGAGAGAGAGAGAGAGAGAGGAGAGAGAGAGAGAGAGAGAGAGAGAGAGAGAAGAGAGAGGCTTAAAACATATTTATTTTATCATTTATCATATGTCATTCCAATACATCCTCAAGAAAACAAACTCCAAAAATACAAATAAATAAATTAAAATATTTTAAAACACAATACAATCAATACTTATTGCAATCCTAACATTACATGTTTAAACTCAACATTTCCTCCTCCCCAACCTCACACAAAAACCTCCCTACTGTCCATATTGCAGAAAACTCCATAATATTATTGACTAATTTGAAATAAGCAAACTCAATTTTATTTTTTTATTTTTATTTCAATTTTATAGAGAGAGAGATCTGGCTGATTAATTTAACAATGTTTTATTTTTATGGCACAGACATCAAAAACACTTTTGCCTCCCTGTGGGCAAGTACAGTAATGCAACATGAACTATTCTACAGTATGTTGAGCCAAGTATGAATAGGTCAGACTTATGATGTTCAACTACTCATACAGTACATTAAAACAGTATGCTTTAACAATATTTCAAAAGATAATAAAAGTAATTATGAAATTACATATAAAGATGTGCTAAAGTCTTCCTTGAGTGGGCCAAAAAACACTCTAAAGTTCAGCTAACTGCATTTAAAGGTACTCTATGGAGTTTTTAGCGGCCTCTAGCGGTGATGTTTCAGAATGCAACAAGAGCGCTCGTGCTCGTGTGCGTGCTAGATCTCAAGAGCGATCATTCACTACCGGCCACACAGAGACTTTCAACGCAATGGCAAAATCATCACACAACATGCTGGAAACTAATGTAAACTCCCACTGCAGGTATAAGGATGGGTACCGAAACCCGGTATTAAACGGGCCCCGGTACTGAATTTTAAAAGACCGCTGTATCGATAAGCTCGGACGTTATCGGTTCTGCTGTCGGTACTGGAGAAATTAAGTAAATACACATAAGTTGGGCTACTATTTATTATTCCTATAAAGACGTTATCTTGAACATGTTTATATCGCCAGCCATTTCTATAAACTATATTTTAATTAAACCATTTGTCTGTGATGCAAATTTGCAATTCGCAGTTCAGAAGAGAGAGAGAGAGAAGAGAGAGATCTCTCACGCAAAACACGCGCAACACGACAGCCCTGCTTAATGAGTGACAATGAGGACAGAACTAAACATTCAGCGTGGTTACACATTAGATCTGGGATATTATTCTAATATATTTTGTATTTCGGCTTCCAAAGATTATAAAAAGAAGATATTTTAGATAAAACCGTAAAAAACGAGACGATCTGTCCAGCTTAACTTCCTTTACTTCACAGCACTGCAGAGCGCTGTCAGTTCTTCCTAAAACCCAAACGTAACCGTCAGAATCAGCACGATCGGTGATTGTTGCAAAATGCTGTTTCTACTGTTGCAAGATAAAAAAAATGGCTATTAAAAACACAAAAACCTGCGCAAGAGACGCTGTTCACAAGGCGGTGCGCGCTCCGAAACGGACTGCAACGAGACAAGAAAAGTAGCCTATACTTGGGCTTCGTGCGTCCTTAACTATGAAATATACATAAAAATGTCAAAATGACCAGCTCTGAGATTCACTTAAACACAGTTTATTCACTTAAACACAATTATGTCTTAAATGGACGTAAATAATAGGGAGAAAATGATGGTGCATCAGTCCCCATTAGATCTGCACTTGGTCTTAAAGGGGCAGCAGTCTAATAGCCTAAACCTGCTGACGATTCAGCCATTAATGCAAATCAAACAACAAAAGGCAGAGAAGATCACTCACAGCTTTTGAATAAGTAACTTTAGATTTAATTCTATCTATGATAAACTATACGGTGCTATTTTATATTTGATTACTAGGTTTCTTTTCAGACAGAAACAATTACCTGAAAAGATATGTTAGTAGACCTTCCTGAAATTAAAGCACTTTGTATATACAGTAATTTGTATCTTTGATTAATTGTATTCTTGTGTTTGTACTTACGTATTGTATGAACAAAAAAAGCCTGCACACTGCTGCATAACAAAAAGATATTTTTCTTCGTTTTGCTTTTTCTATTTTACATTTCAAAATATAAAGTTTAATTATGTTCTTAATTCTTAAAAAAAATAATAAAAAATAATAAAATACTAAAAAACACCAAAAAGAACCGATAAGAATACTGTTAAAGTACCGGATCGATAAGCGGTATCGGTAAGAGTAGTAATACCGATAAAACCTTAACGATACCCATCCCTATGCAGGTACAATAATAGCCTATTTTTATCAGCTTGACGTTGAACTAATGCTCTGTGCTCGTACCATGATCATAATGTTACAATAAACTGCATTTAGCTGACATGTGATGTTATATAGCATAAGCCATTTCACTGACTATTCGTGTATCTTTCACAATCAGCAATGTCAACACAGGTGAATGTATAATATGATAACGAAAACGGTTAGTGAAATAAACTGAACAGTTTCAGTGTATCAGTAAGATCGTAGGAAGACATTACTGTACTGAACGTGTCTGGAAATGTCTATTATAAAAAATATTATAGTAGTGGATGAGTGATGTTAGTCAGTAGATCTAGTAAATAAAATAAGTTACATCCTAAAGCACCGACTTTTTGTTATCCAGGAACATTCTTTTGTATTCATGTCATGTTTCATGTACTTTACCTTGCTATTTCACTAGAGTTTACTAATATGTTGTAGCTACTATGTTGATCCGCGTTTGTGTCTGGAGTTGATCAGATTCACGTTTTGCCTGACGAGCTTCAGCAGATAAAACTTTTGTTTTTTATATTTTTGTGGAGTTTGTGTTGGAGTCTGTGTTGTGAGACGTTTTGGGGAGTTATCAGACTCCGTGTCGTCAGCTGAAGTGCCGTTGGTCGCATGTTGAAATCAACGGGGTTACTGTGTCCATTTCTTTTACAGTCTATGGGTTGCATAGGCTGTAGGATAGAGAGGCTCGGGAGTGCGCATGCACGTCACATCCGAAGGATTTCGCAGGGAATCCGACCCGGAGACCTCACATATAAATATGAATATTGACCTTCAGAGGTAATAGCAAAACCCGAAAAGTGGATCATTGCAATGTGTGATTACAACCCCTTTAAACACAGGCAATAAAAAAAGGATTAATTTTCCAAAAAAAAAGTTCCATATAGAACCTTTAATACAAATTGGAACTACTGTATAAAAAGGTTTCATTTAATTGCAATTAACATGCATTTAAGTGCCTGAAAACATTACATTCAGTTTACACTTAAGTATATATTCTTTTAAAGTAGTGTTTTCCCATAAGTACTCTTTTTGATAAAGATATAAGAACGTATGATAAAAGTGTACTTCAGTTTCACAAGTGCAGGGCATAAACTGGCATCCTATTACTTTAAGCAGTATAGGCACAAATATCATGTTTTTGTAGGAAAAACTATTAGATTTGTGGGAAAAGCATAGCACAAAAAGAAGCAATTGTAAAACACAGGCCCTATTTTATATACAATTGGTGGAACGTGCCATTTGGACATAGCTAAACCTATGCTGCATCTCTTGGCATATTAATCAATTAAAGCATGTTATCCCATTGTTGGTTTCTCACCCTGAAGAAGTCAGCAGCCTGACTGATGAGCAGAGCATCCGACTCGGGTCTCATTCGGATGTAGTGGGAATATAGAAAGAACTGATCCTTCTGTGGAGCAGAGAGAGTGTCCAGCATGAGAGTCAAGTATTCATATGAATACATACCAACATTTGTGACTATCTATCTCAAAGGACTGTTAACCTTGTATTGGGCTGTTTCTTCAACTTCTATCCACAAGTTTCCTACGCCCCATGAGGCCTTGGGTCAAAAGTGGGCGCGACTTCCGGTTGGAAGTAAACAAAGCGCGATTTGACATGCTTGACACTTGTTCATTCAACAGTTGACAGTCGTTCAAGTTATAGCGATCCAAACTAGCTAACGATGTGGGAACACAACCTCAACGAAATTCAAAAGGGTGAAATAACAGTACCTTTACCCTCCGCAGTAGTTGATTGGGAGTATTATTAACATTATTAATAATCAATACTCATCAAGGAATGGTGACAGACAGTTGTGCGAGCTGACAAACAATTAAAATAAAAAATACACACTTAGTCATTGTGCTTTGGAGTTTATTCAAAATTATAAATGAATGTGCTACTTGAATACATTAACTGACACATTTGGTATTCTGTCAACACAGGCTTTGATCCTGAGTTTAGGTGTAACATCAGTAGAGAACATCCAAACACATGCTGATAAAATTTGATAGAATATTAAGAATTGAAACAAATGTACACAGGAAGATTCGTCGTCTTTTGGGAGGTGATGGAAACTACAGTCGTTGGCAGGATCAGAGACGGGCTCTGGCAGGATCACTCTGATTTCATTTTCAGCTTATGTTCAAAACAATCACGTTTAAGCCACTGAATTAGTTTAGTCCGGTTATACATACAACCGCGAACAGCACATGTTGTCCCTGAGCTCCGTAACGACATCTCTCATAAAGATTTGCGTCTTTAAATAGTAAAATAATTCTCAGAAAAACAGCTAGCCTCTTCGCTAACTAACACACAAAATACCATTGGAATGCTACTTCCGCCGCCTCACCGGAAGTTTCACCCACTTTATTTTTTACAGCAGCGCCCCTCGGAAACTTTTGGATTGCCCAGGGGCTTTTGTTTCCTTTTTAAAAAAATGAAACTTCTTGTTAAATGGAGGCCACATTAAAACTTGTTTTTTTCCCCTTTGCTATTTAGTTTTTCAAAGATCTTTCCATTCCTTCTTTTCTTTCCGCTACCTTTTAAATGCTTTTTATGTATAGATTTTAAAAAAATAGCCTTCTTAATATAACAGTTATAATATTAAAATATGACAATCCAGTATTTCATAATCATACCTGTAAGTGTAGAAAATGTTTTGTCTTTTATTTTGTAATTTACGTGCGTTTCCAGGTGTGACGGTCACATGGGTATTGGTGGGTATATACCTGATAGTGTTTCCTGTTTGGGGTGTGTGGAGAGGGGGTGAGTAGCGGGGAGTGCTCACTTTCTGTTGACCGTTAGCATGTATGTTCTTCATTGTTTCTGCGTGTATGTCAATAAAAGCTACTGAATATTCAATGCAAGAAAACGCGTCACGGATATTTCCTGCTGCCTAGCCTCTCAGCGGCTATAGGTTGCCGCTACATTTAAGTCAACAGAAAACTACACAACGAAGGGGATTATGGACGCAACTTGGAAACGGCTGTTCCTGCATACAGCATGTAGTGGCGGACGTGCACTGCAGAGTTTGGATTGACGGACACGACGCACATACAGACGGCAAATGAGGTACGTTCGCGGTTTCAATGGATTGTGCTGTATCGCCGTAGTGGAAGTTGTGGAAGACGCTGTTGTTGTCATTGGATTGGCGTTGAGTTGAACGCGCTCTGTGTTGCTCTGGTACTTATGGGCTCTCGTGTGATTTACTGCCTGGTTACGTTCATTCATTGTTTGGCTCTGTGAGCGTGCGGTTTGAAACGGAGCTCGCATTGTCCGTCGCGTTGGAGAATGATGAATTCAGAGGATATGGATAACGCTGTTGTTGATGGCAGCAAACGAGAGCATAAACCCACGACAAAGGCGTTGGTGGCTAAGATTGAAGCCTTGCAAAGGGATCGCAAGAGTAAAGTAAACAAAGTGAAGAATTTGATCGGATCAATGAAAGAGCTGATGAAATGCGATGATAATGCGTCTCAAGTGTGTTCTATGTTGAAAACGATACAGGTGCTTATGGATGATGCAATTGCGCTACATAAAGGAGTATTGCCTCTACTACCTAATGAGGAACAAAGTAAACAAAATGAATGGTTTGACTCCATTTTGGAACATTATAATGGTTTTGTGGATGACGTTCAACGATGGACGAACGAAGCTTGCACCGCTTCTTCTATTATCCGTGGGCCTGTGGTTGGGGAAGCCATTGCTACATCTCAAGGAGTTTGTGCATCTGACATTACATCCTCTATTGACATGTTGTCTACAGCACACAATACTCGGCCCTTCAATGTACATCACCTACAAGCTGGAATGTATTCCGGGAACCTTGAAAATGAAATTCAACCAACGGACAGTGCTTCAAATATAAGCAGTAAAAGATCTTCTGGAGCTACATCTCATGGGTCTCGATCCTGCCGATCTTCTATGCGTCTCAAGGCTGAGGCAGAATTGGCCGCTTTATTGGCTTCTCAAAAGATGCTGCAATTGAAACATGATTTAGAGGAACGAGGGGAACAGTTGAGAAAAAGGAAGGAAAAACTGGATTTGGAAATCAAATTAGCTGAGTCAATGGCAAGAGTAAAAGTGTATCAAGACGTTCAATCCGTATCCTATTCATCTGTGGATAGGAATGTGTTGAAACCCCTACATCCGGTAGCAGAACCATTCGTTCCTTCTGCTAGTGTCCCAGCAGCATCAGAGTCCATACCGGTAGCACGTACATCATATATCAATGGTACACAAAGGATCCCAAATTATTCTCCACCTCGTCTAGGACAACAACAATCAACAAGACCTAAAATGAAACCTTCACAAGCTACATTGCCTGATTTGTCATCATTGGATATTCAGAATCGCGATGGTCATGGGTCAAGAAGACCAAGTTCCCAAATTGACACAGGCAATTCAAGCATGCTTCAGCTTATGGGTAAGCAAAATTAAATAGCTGCCCTATTGGTTAAACAGCATAACTTGTCTTCCCTTCCACCTAGAGAAATACAGTACTTTGATGGAGATCCTTTGCGCTTTCATGAGTTTATGCGTACATTTGAGGAAGTGGTGGAAAAAAAGGCAGACAACCCAGGAGATTGTCTGCACTTCTTGGAGCAATATACACGAGGACAGTCGAGAGAACTTGTTAGAAGTTGCCAGCTCATGACCCCGTCACAAGGTTACTTGAAGGCTAAGGCTTTGCTAAAAGAGAACTTCGGCAATGAGGTAAAAATAGCTTCGTCATACATGGAAAAGGCTCTTTTATGGAAGGCTATAAAATCTGAAGATGCTAAGGCTCTGCAAGAGTATGGTCTTTTCCTAAGGAGTTGTTGCAACGCTATGCAAGATATTCACTATATGAATGAGCTGAATCTCACCACTAACATGCAAATCATCCTCTCAAAGCTTCCTTACAAACTCAAAGACAGATGGAGAGTCGTTGCATACGAGTTAAAGGAGCGACGCCACAATCAAACCACCTTTTCTGACGTTGTTGATTTCATCGAGAAACAAGTAAAAATTCTATCTGATCCTGTGTTTGGTAATATTCAGGATGTGTCACCTATTGGAGGTAGGAAGATTAATTTTAAAGCAGGTCAGCCGAAAACTAGAAGCAGCTTTGCAACTACTGTCACTGCTATACCTGAAATGAAAGAACACCATAAGATATCAACTAACAGAACCTGCCTCTTTTGTAATGGTGAACACATGCTGGATGTCTGTAATAAACTGATCAGAAAAAGTCACAAAGAAAAGATGAATTTTCTGATGACGAGAGGAGTTTGCTTTGGCTGCTTGCATACAGGTCACCTTAGTAGGGACTGCAAAATGAGAAGTGTCTGTAACGTATGTGGTCTTAAACACCCAAGTCTTCTTCACATTTACCCTCACGAGAAGGTAGAAACATTGGACAAGAAGAAAGCTGAATTTAAGTCTGCAGTAGCTAGTGCTATGGTCTCTCTCCAAACTAGTGGTCTTACTGGGGCTGGTAACGACAGCTGTGCATTACCTATCGTCCCAGTTTGTGTCAAATCAAGAAAGAGTCACAATGTGGTGATGACGTATGCCTTTCTTGATTCAGGAAGTTCTGCTTCTTTCTGTACCGAAAGTTTGATGAACAAGCTCAACCTCTCTGGAAAGAGAGTTAATATCCTTCTCAGAACTATGAGCCAAGATAAATCAGTCGGTAGCTACGTTCTAAAAGACCTGGAGATTTCTGGATTGAGACAAGAAGATTACTGTGCATTGCCGGAAGTGTATACACAAGAGAGCATGCCCGTGACCATGGAAAACATTGCCTCACAAAAGGATCTTGAACGTTGGCCTTATCTGAGTCATATTTGTCTACCTACGATTAATGCTGGCATAGAGCTTTTGATTGGAGCTAATGTTCCAGAAGCATTGGAGCCTTGGGAGGTCATACGTAGTCAAAATAATGGCCCATATGCCGTAAGGACCCTGTTCGGATGGACCGTTAACGGACCACTCAAAGGAGTTGGCATGAATGGAGATGATGCTGCTAACCAAATTTCTGTGACTGCGAATAGGATTGCAGTGATGAAGTTGGAAGAGTTGTGGAAGCAGCAATTTAAGGCCGATTTTCCAGAGACTGCTCATGAAGAGATGGTGGGAACATCTAAAGAAGATCAGCAGTTTATGAATTTTGTGTCCAATTCAGCAAAGCTAATTAATGATCATTATTATATTGGTCTTCCATTCAGAAATGCCGAAGTAGTCATGCCTATGAACAGGAGAATTGCAGAACAACGTGCTCTAACTCTACATAAGAAGTTCAAAGTGAATTCTTCCTTTCATGCAGATTACACCACTTTTATGGAGGATGTGATTCATAAAGGTTATGCCGAAAGGGTGCCTGCGGCTGAACTGGAGAGACGCGACGGACGTCTGTGGTATTTA